TATCAAATTGTGATGCAAATAAAATTTTAATTGGATTTGCATATTTAAAAACGCTGTTCAAAAGCAGGCATTTCAGTAAAAAAAAACAAGATGTGTTTGTGAAACACTATGCGCCCGGCGGCAACAGGGTTCTAGAAAGCAATTTTTAGCAAATGGGTCTCAGTCAAGGTCACAGGTTGTCCTTGGTGTCAGTTGAAAGTGCTTAATTAGTGGAGTACGCATATTAAATACGAAGTCTCTATCTCTCACGGTTCAAATTAGTTATGGCGAAAATTTGAAAAAAGCTCTTTTTAGCATATAAGTCACGGTCAAGGTCACAAGGTCATTGACCTTGGTGTCCGTTGAAAGTGCTTAATTAGTGGAGAATGCATACCAAATATGAAGTCTCTATCTCTCACGGTTCAAAAGTTATGGCGAAAGTTCGTAAAAGCTATTTTTAGCATAAAGGTCTCAGTCAATCACAGGTTGTCCTTGGTGTCAGTTGAAAGTGCTTAATTAGTTGCATTGGCGTCGGAAGCAAATTGAAAGTGGGGGGGGGGGCTAAGTGTAAAAAAAAATTTTTGTACCTTAAAAAATAACCTGACAAGCAAAAAAAAAAAGGAAACGTTCATTTCCCAAACCCGAAAATTCTATTTCGTGGGGGGGGGGGGGGGGGGGGGGACAGGACAAAATACCAAAAATTTTTTTCCAAACACAACCACTTCCCCCATTTTTAACCTATACTAAGACGTATCTGTGGAAAATAGAGGGGCTAAACCTATGAAGATATGTTCAATGTCATATATACAAGTGGGGGGGCTAGGCACCCCCCCCCCCCCCCCCCGGTTCCGACGCCTATGAGTTGAGTATGCATACCAAATATGAAGTCTCTATCTCTTACGGTTCAAAAGTTATGGCGAAGGTTAAAGTTGACAACAGACAGACAAACAGATAAACAGACAAACAGACAGACAGGACAAAAACAATATGCTCCCCGAAAAAATTCGGGTGCATAAAAATTCAGTAACGAGTTTACCCAAATCTGATAATGATTTTCATATAATACATTATGATTTGGTAAAACTTTAGGCACATGTTCTGACGTTTTCCTAGCGTATTTTAAGGGAATTCATTTTCTGAACCCCAGCATTAAAGACAAAATATCTACATATGATATAGTCAGTTTGTCGGAGAAACTAGTTTCAGACAGCCAGGAAGAGAAAACTTGAAGGTGAAGCAGCAGAATATATTCAGTCTAAATCCACTGTCAGAGTGAGACCTTCCAAAATTTGGCACAGAAACCCCAACACCCAAGCACAGGAGTTCGCGTACCTATCAATTATACCGAAATTTTCATTAAATAAAAAAAATACGTAATACGTATAATAAGGAGTTCGCGTACCTATCAATTATACCGAAAATTTCATTAAATAAAAAAAATACGTAATACGTATAATAAGGAGTTCGCGTACCTATCAATTATACCGAAAATTTCATTAAATAAAAAAATACGTAATACGTATAATAAGGAGTTCGCGTACCTATCAATTATACCGAAATTTTCATTAAGTAAAAAAAATACGTTATACGTATAATGATAACACGTGATTTTATTATAGGTATAACGTATCTTTTTTATTTACCGAAAATTTCGGCAAAATTGATAGGTACGCGATCTCCTGTGACCCAAGCATGAACAACTTTAGTACCTATGTAACCTGAGCAAGAATGTGCAACTCTCCCTCTCACTCCAATGCAGACACGACAGAGTTTTTTTCGGTGCTTCAAAAAATTAGGGACAACCATGCAGAAAAGACAATACATAGTTTACTATATCAGTGTTAAGAGATTTATTACGGTAAATATTACTAATACTCGGTAATCCTTTGCAATGCCACCCAATTATAGGTGAGAACCAGGAGTTGTGAAAGTACATGTATACAGCCAGGACATGCTTGAGCCTTGTATAAGCAGTTCTTAACACCTGGAAAAGGTCAGATATTTCGGACTACTTAAACACATGACATATATACATGAATAAGGGAAGTTAACGATGGAAAAGTTGAAGTCATCTCGTATATCATAAAATGTAGTAGTTATTTGGCTTTAATCATGGATCCGCCCCCCTCGAATTTCTGAAGTTATATGAAATGTGTATATTAAACCAATAAAAAGTGACCTTGGACCCCCTCCCCTAGAGGATGTGGATCAGTGTTAAGTCATAGACACGGAGGCTTGGAACCAACGACTACACCCCCGCCCCACCCCACGAAATAGACCGTGGCTTTTCACGTTTGAGCATAAGGAGTTAACGTATATATACTATCTTTTTATTTACCTATCATGGAATTTTAGATTGTTTTTTTTATTGGTGGAACCCCCCCCCCCCCCCCCCCCCCCCCGGAAAAAAAAATCTGCGTCTGTCTTTAGTCAGTAATCCATCCAAATATAAAACAAATGAAGCAGACTCTTTTAGGTGTCTTTTCCTTCAAGTTCACTGAGATATATAGTGGACATAAGAATGAAACTCACATTTGTATATTGACTAAAATCACCGATAATATCTGAATATCGAATTGAAAACCACAGCAAGTGTTTTCCTCTTCTCTTGTACAGACGTTTTGGAGTTAAGGTTCATAGATACTCTGATAAGAGAGATAACTGTTAATGACATAAATGTCTAATATTCCTTTATATTTTTGCCAAGTTGATGTGTCTTATCTTGTACAATTTTGCCCAGCAAGCTATGCAATAATTGTTTGTATTTTACTTATAAAATACATTTCTTTTGAAAAATCATTAAAGTTCAAGCAACATTTTATATGAGTGAGCAGAGGGTTTATGAACCTTAATTCTGATTCACAGGAATATAAAAGCATATCAGTTAAAGGGAGTACAATTAGTGCCCATGAGCATTCCAACACTTGGTCTCCGAAGACTATAATATAAATGTTGTCACTGAGGAACTCCATCATCCTTTTATCAACTTCGGAGTATACTTGTGTGTACTGTAATCAGATCATCAGATCAATCTTTTAAACGAATTAATGGGCATTTTGCAAATGACCAAGTATAACATGGAAAAATACCGCGTTCCGTAGCTGCTGTTTTTGTCTTTGTGATATCACTTAAAAATCCTAGATTATATTTCATCTTAAGGACAGACGAGACGTTCCTTAATAATATATAATTTTTCCAAGATTTTGTCATTGAAGAATTACTACTTTTTAACATGTTTACTCGCAAAAAATTGCCTTACCAGGCACGTGTGCGAGATACCAGATGATGGCATTTCTTATATAATCCTTTAGGAAAAAACTTATCTTGCCAAAATCATGTTTTTAGTGTTTCAAATTTATAAAAACAATTAGAAACAAGTTTAGAAATCAGAAAGTAATTAAAATTTTGTATAATTTCATACATTATGAAGATATATATACATAACAGATTTTTGGGGAACGTATCGTCTGACCTTAAGGAATTGTTAACGTTGTATTTATAAAGTATTCTACAATATAACAGTAGAGCACTAGTGTACTGTATGAAACAATCACCTGTGGTTATAAACTCTTGGTGATTTTAAAGTTTCTATAAGTTCTTTAGAATTTTTAGGATCCAAATCTGATTTACACCACTTTAAGAATATGATGTTGCAAAGTGCATCTCCCTTGCGTAAACAGCATAGCTGCAGATCTGTAGCGTTATGGTTTTATATAGTTGTCTTTGACCATAAACAGCATAGCTGCAGATCTGTAGCGTTATGGTTTTATATATTTGTCTTTGACCATAACGCTACAGATCCCGTAATGCGAAAAACGTGCAATTTACGGCGCAAATTTTTTTGCGCAATTTGGGGAGAATTTCTCCACTTTCCAGCATCGGTCAATTAACTACCTTTCATTCCCTAATTCTAGGCACATTATTTAACTAATCTGTATATTTTATCTATCTCCCAACCCTTTCTAATCGTCTCTACAAGAGATAATCTCGCTTGATTAAAATTATTTGTTAGATTGCTGAAAATTCCCTTTAAGAGTTTATTGCCTGTAGAGACAACTCTAAATGGTTGGGAGGTGGATAATATATATATATTGGCTACAGCATGTGTCAAGAATAAGTGAAAGGTTGTGATGTTTCTCCCCAAAAGTGCAAAAAATATTGCATCTGTAGTATCTTTTTTGCACTACAGGATCTGTAGCGTTATGGTCAAAGACAAATATATAAAACCATAACGCTACAGATCTGCAGCTATAAACAGCAGTGAATTTTTTTTTTAAAGAGTAACAAAAAGTTATTGCTGGTAAAGTTAAGGGCTTTGTAACAATCGGCAATCCTCGGCTGACTCCGCTACGCTCCATTCAAACGGCAATGGCTTTGTAAAGCATATGGTTGACCCAGCACAATTTCGCTGGTACCCAGCAATGAACACGGTATACAAATGTATTTTTTTTGTAAGGATTTTAAAGATATTTAGGAATCAAGTACAGGTAGATCGAACTTACTTTGGTTGGCTGGTATATTAAAAGAATTAAACACTGAATTGATTTATTTCTTGGAAAGTGACCTTTGAGAATATTATACATGTATGTTAGATTTCCAGACTTAGAAGTTTTACTTCTAGTTCCTTTATAATGATATACATGTCTGCTTGAATCATAAAATTCTTCGTGTAGCTTCTCCAACTCTTTCATCACTTCCGATTTACTGAAATGGAAGGGTATAGATAGACCAAAAACATTGACTTGGGAAGATGAGCTAGCTATAGGTAAAGTTTGTGACAACTTCAATGTAATAAGTGAGTCCATCTGTGCAGATAATTATTGATAATTCTCAATTATAACAAGACACATTGGTTACAACTTTATTAATACAGTGTACTGCATTTAAACACACACACACACACACACACTGTCTCCCCCACCTCTCTCTCTCTCTCTCTCTCTCTCTCTCTCTCTCTCTCTCTCTCTCTCTCTCTCTCTCTCTCTCTCTCTCTCTCTATGCTGCCAGCATCCTTTGTTGTTATACTTGTATTTCACCACCGAACTGAACAATACACAGAATAATGAAAAACCCAAGCACCATTCCGGAATTCTGGATGAAGAATACTAAATATATATTTTCAGAACCGCTTGATTCGGCCTCTGCTAGCTGCTCTCTCATTTCTGGAATCTAAAAACAAACAGAATTTAATTAAGTATATGTACAGTACGTGGCTAAAAATTATAAGACTTCGTATCTATAGACATTTCAGAATACATTGTACTAGTAAAACAAGATGTGAGGCCCATGGACATTATTGATAACCCGAGCAACTTCAGTATTTGCTGTACAATGTATGCTAGGTTAAATATTGTATAAACAGGAGATGAACCTGCAAACCATTAAAATATTCAGATATTGTTCCCTAATACCCAACCCAATCAAAACTTTGTCTCCAAGATGTTCCATAAAGATTTTATCTAGTTGAAACATTGATTCGAACTACAATGCATGTATAGTGTACATGTATATATACTAGTCTTTATCTATCACAATGACCATAGGGACTCGGGAAAGTTGATGAACCTTTGCTTGTTTGAGATGACTGTTCGCCAAAAATTGATAATAAAATAAATTAAAAATTAATAATAATAATAATAATAATAATATAAAAAAATTAAAAAGGGGGATTTCAATGATAACACCTTGCACATGCATTATATATCATAGTCCCTCCCCAGCTAAGCCATAAGAAGCCCAGTATTAATGAAATTCACAAATTTTGTATTGCTTTTCTCATAGAAACTTTGCATTTTCTTTTCCCAGTAGTATCAGAGGAGAATACAGCATATATACGATTGGCAACGGACGGCAGAGATAGAAATTGATCAAATGGATAACAAACTCATGCTTCTTTAAAAATTGCTTCATACAAACCATGTCACTTAATGCAATGTATACAAATAATCCTCCTGCAAATCCAAATATCCATTGATTGGCATGGGTATTTTCTCCCACCAAAATTCCTATTATAAGTCCAGCATAACAAAGCACGGCAGCTATGAAATTTAACAAAAGCGCCCTTTTCATTTTTAAGCCAGCATGAAGAAGGATCGCGATATCACCTAAGAGAAAAATAAAAAAAATTAATAAAAACAACGAAACATCACGTAAACATTTTTTATAAGTGTTCATGAAGAAGAAAGAAACGGGGCTAAACTTGTGCGCCTTGGCGAACACCAGGAATACAGAAAGTCTTCATCCAGAGTGTTACGGTGAGAAAGTCTTGACACCCGTGCATGCGCAGAGGTTTACAAACAATCACTTTACTTACCTAATTCATGCGGCAACTCTTCGCATAAAACAGCCAAAGAAACGCTAATCCCTAGCAACGTATTTTCTGTAAAAGCCGCCCCTATAGATAATCCATCCACAAAATTATGGATGGCGTCTCCAATGAGCAGAATCCAGGCCACGGGCGCTACTTCCTTTCTGCCATCTTTCTCCACAATCTCTAGTTTATGGGAATGTACATGATGTTGCTTCTCTACATGTAACAATTCCACATTACCGTTTTCTTTCTTCTCATCTATAGGGTCATCGATTTTATCTTCAGAGCTATATCTCTGTTTCTGTATATTAAAAGAAAATTTGAACAATAAATTGCTGTCTATGGATTTTAGTTTGAGAATTCATCCTGCAGCTGTTACAGATAAAAAAGCAGAACTCGTAGTATTTTTATTTTCTTGCAATAGCTGCAACGTTATTTCCCAAGTAACAAACAAAAAGTCATTCACATTTTATTGTTTATATCGGTATATCTGTACAAGTAATCATGTAAAGAAAGATAAAGTAAATTAATAAAATATTGTGATATTTGTATGTATGTCATTGCTCAAATTTGTGCAGGTGAAACTAGTATATGCTCAGTTGTGTTTACTGACCAATAGACACGGTGATTAAAACCAAAGGTGATTGCGCAAATGTACTATATTCTAACTCGTAATTTTGATTAAGCGGTGATGAAGCAGTATTTCCGGTTGAACACAGTAGCAAAAGCCGTGCAATGAGCCCGACTAAAAAGTATTTATTGGATGTTAAAATAAAATAATAATAAATAAAAGGCATCAAATGGAGTGTCTCAATAAATAAAAGACTCCCAACAAGTCAAAGTGATAAAAAGCAAGAATGTTTTGATCATTTTTACTGTGCTTTTACAGAATTATCTCCCTCAGTCCTTTTGAAGTTGGGTTTTGTCATGATGAAAGTACATCATGTAATTTTTAATCAAAGTACTCAGAAGTACTGAAAGTCGGGCTCATTTACAGGGTAATGAACTATCACCGCGATGTCAGTTTAAAAACAAGCCGATTCAGACATTGAGAAGATAATTATACCGGTATATCTCTATATCATATATAGCATTAAAAAGTTTTAAAAATTAAAATGTAGCTAGAATTTAACAGCGTAAAATATTTGTCACATGTATCGTTTCGGGGTTTTATATACCAACAGAAGTAAATAAACACTGATGCAGCAAGATTATTTAAGGTCAAACGATTATGCACAGATGCATAATTATATATGGATGAACTTCACAGAAATTCCATACATGTAAAAATACATATTACTTTGAGAATTCAAAGACATTTTTGTGAGCATTTTTTTTACTCACCTTTTTAGGACGGGATGTCTGCTGAAATCCAAAAGAGTGAGGAAAAAAAATAATGTATTGCATGCTAACTTATTTGGCAGGGACATGCGATCTAATACAAATGGTATATATTTTCTACCAATATCACGGAAAAATTAAAGACTGTAAATACCTTACCCTGCGCTTGTCAAGGATGAATTTCAAGAGACGTTCAGAAATAAATACAAAATACGCCCCGCCAATGACGGTGGCCATTTTCCACTGAAAATTTGGAACTGGGCTATCTTCTCCTCCAAGATGCATAGACTGAAACAAATATTATTATAGTCATTAACACTGTTCAATATAAGGTTCATTTAAAAAGTTTAATGTGCATACATGTATCTCTCTACTCTATCATAAGGGAAAAAAAAATCTTAGCACATTTGGTTTTTTTTTTTTTTTTTTTTTTTTATCAGAAATCATATAAATTATAAATAAATGCATACAATTTCAGTATATTTTGCAGTTCAAAATATGAGAGAAATCGTCTTTTAATTTTACAACTTCATGAGACTCCTTAAAAAGTTAGGTCTATCTCTTATCGATCAGAAGGTCGATCGGTGACCCTTAATTGATAATGAAGATGTAACTACTCGGCCATTTCCGTAACCACAAGTTACAATTGAATGAAATAATATAAGTTCATACAGTACCTCAGGTATAAGAACTAAAAATCCCGTGGAGCCGAGCGTTCCCACGGCAAGAGCCACGCAGAACATAAGAATTCTCCTGAATGCGTTCGTGTGAATACATGGTCCAAGGAAGACCCCTATGTTAGAGATTAGGACAACCAAGCTCACAAAACCAATACCATACCCCCATGCTGGAAAAGAATTTTTATTTTTTTTTAGAGAGACATGTTCATTAGTTGCAAGACAATATTTTTTTGATTTTTTATTTTCGCTTTGAAGGCCGACAATGTATTTGTGTCATTTGAGTGCTTGTGAACAAAAAATATAAATGTTTTATTTAAAAAAGAAACTGATAAACTCTCGGTTTCACAGAAAATGAAGCAGATAGACTATCCCCCAATCTTATCAATCGGTCTGTCTGTCTGTTTTGATGTCCACCATGCAACAATTTCCGTTCATTTTTTTTTTGGCACCGGTTGCACATACTGAAATGACATTTGGTATACAGATTTATCATAGGAATATCTATGTCAAGTTCTGTTTTGGGGTACGATCGAGCAATTTTGGACAGAGCTATACCCCTTTGACTCAGGAAAATTACAATTTTAGGGGGGTTGGGTTTAAGTGTTTCACAAGCATTCTTTGTTTAAACTGTAAATAACCTTTTCCAATAGGCGGTTTCCTAGCATGCTCGAGGACAATGGATTGTGAGTCGGAACAGCAGTCATCATTATGAAGTTTCCGCAGCAACAGGGGGCAGGCGGCAGTCAGGGATGAGCCGTTAATCCGGGTACTTCCACCGGACACTCCCTGGAATATCTGGCTGAAAGTTTGGCATTGCTGAAATTTATTACAGACCAGTGTCGATGAACTTGAATATATTTACATACGTGTACAATTTGTCAGGATCGATGTTTCTTAAAATAAATCAGCTTTACAAGGACTCGTGCACTCAGGGGATTGATCTTGTTTTGCTAATTTTTTAAATCTCAATAACAGCATAAGAGGTCTTTGTTTTTATTTTGTTTAAAGGCAACATTTGCATTGTTATTAGATATACGTTTTAATTATAAATACAAAGTGTACTAATTAGTAAAGTTGTTATACAATGAAAATAATGTGAACGCGTTTATCAAAATTGCGTTAATTTATACGGGTGCATACAGATAGATTTTTTTCCCGTTAAATGTACATACGGATCTACAGCTTGATAAACATGGTGAAAGGGATTTATTTGGATATTTTAAACACAATATTGTACCAAGACTGAAAACCAGCAGGGTCCAGGACGTACTTCTTATCTTAAAAGTAGAATTTCCGTTTTAATCGTTTAAAAGGAGGTTCATTTACAATTTGAAGTCTTTTCATGAAAATCTTAAAAATAAACATTGAACTATGAATGGGAAAAAGCACATGTATGTCGAATCCGAAACACACACACGCACCCTCATGTACATGCTTAGATCCGCCCTTAGCATAGGCGTCGGAATAAATTGAAAGTGGGGGGGGGTGGCTAAAAAGTGGGGGGGGGGGGGCTAAGCAACAAAAAAATGGTAAACCCTAATTTTCAATGCCTGTATTATGTATATCTTTGCAAAGAGGGGTGGTGGTGATAAGCCCCCTTTCTAGCCCCCCCCCCCCCCCCCCCCCGGTTTCGACGCCTATGCTAAGAAAAATGCAATCATAAGCTAGCATGCTCACACAAGAGTCATTCCCATTAATGCCGCTGTCACACACACAACATCCTCACATATAAGACTAGATCCGCCACAGAAAGGAAAAATAAACGCTATCATAAGCATACTCACACAAGAGTCGTTCCCATCAATGGCATTGAACTTTATTGGTCCCGTCTGAAGAGCTGTCCCTAAGCTAAGGAATTCCTCCCGAGACAGAGTTCCCCGCGTGCCATACCTCCGAATTAATTCCTCCGTGACGTTCTGGGTGGCAGGGTAGATTTTATTTCCGGAACAGAAAGAAAGCAAGGTCAACATCAAGAGAACCATGTTTTTGTGACCCATTTCATGCACTGCGAACAACGCGGTATTAGACTACTTTAGTAAAACCACGTGTGTACCATGTGTACCTCTTCACCATGATCTTATGGCCCGGGTGACGAAAAGAGATTAAAGTCCCGCAATAATTCAAAATAACTTAATATTGTAAATAAAAGGCGCATATTTGATTTCCTTATCCTTTGTGTTGACTTAGTTTAAGTGTATGTTTTAGTTTTATAATGTGTTATATATACCCATGCATGAATCAAGTACACCTCAGGACGTTTAATACATGTACAACGATCATTGATGTGACTTAAGGTTGACTTAGGGACAGTGACCGTGTCTGGTTTGAGTTAGAGAGATAGATGTTTTTTTCTATTTTATTTACGAGTGCACATTGCCGTACATCTCTCTCTCTCTCTCTCTTTGCATGCTTACCCTTAGCCTAATGCGCTTGTCGTTTGCCTTCCATGAAATACTATTACACTTGTATCTTAAAATTAATGGCAATACACATTCGATTTCATTGATTGAATGTGTTTGTTTATATCTAGATTCCACGTGTGATCGTTTTGAAATTATCGTTGCAGATTGCAAAAGTTAAAATAATCAATATCATCTTAAATGAATGCTAGTGTGGGGGTGTGGGTCCCTTAATTATTTGACGAATGAAAAAACAATCAAATCGAAGGGTTGTTTTCGTCTTTACGGGAAAAACACATCATGAACTTTGTACAGCTTTAATGTTGACCAAAACTGATAAACCTTTAATCTCAGAACAGTTTCTTGTGTATGTCGAGAGCTAAATAAATATATTATCGACGGGTACGCTAATATTTAGACGTAAAACACACACAACGAAAACAACTGATAGTTTTGTGTGGATAAACCATGTTCTAGTTTTTTTTTTTTTTTGGGGGGGGGGGGGGGGTCTGGGTGGGTGCAGAGCTATCTCGAGTGAATGTAATACAAGCTGATCGGCTGATATTGATAGAATTATATTTTTTAAAGATTTATTATAGTATACAGATTAAAAAAAAACGCGAGGACACGTGAACTTGATGCATTTCATGATTAGGGCATGTTCTAGATTTTTAGATTATTATACGAGTAAAGCTGCAGCTTGTAATCAGGAGTAGATAAATATTAAAATGTACTAGTAATATGTGACAAAATTTCATGATTAGGGCATGTTCAGTTTGAATTTTTTATGATTATTATACTAAAATGTTCTAACTGTAGTAAAGCTGCCTGTTTAGCACTGTGTAACACAAGGAATTTAATGCGAAAATCAGGCGCGGATAGATTTTTTCCAAATATTAAAATAAAAAAAACAAAAAACAAAAAAAAAAACATAAACTCGCCTAGTAATATGTGACAAAATTTAGCGTTTACCAGGGGGGTCAGCGTTTTCCAGGGGGGTCCATGGTAAGATTTTTCTTGTTTTAGCATTTTTTTAACCTGAGGACATTGGTAGAAACATTTTATCATTGTTCTTACATATATATTTTTTTCATAATCGGCATATTAAACTGTTTCATATTCTAACTCTGTGAAATGTTTAGGATTCATAATGATGGGGTAATAAAGTACATGTATATATCTGTAATTAACAAAAAAAACTTTCTTTTATTGCCATGGCGAACAATAAATAATCATGATTTGATATTAGAGAGAGAGAGAGAGAGAGAGAGAGAGAGAGAGAGAGAGAGAGAGAGAGAGAGAGAGAGAGAGAGATAGAGAGATAGGACAGGAGAGAGGGTGAGATAGGTGAGAGAGAGTGTGGAGTGAAATAAAGGAGAGAGAGATGGGTGAAATCTTGAGAGTGGAGAAAAGGAGAGTGTGGGACCAGAGAGAATTTAAGGAAGGCTGATGGGTGGAAGAGATGAGAGTGAGGGTGAGAGAGGTAGAGAAGGTGGGAGGGTGAGGGGAGAGGAAGTAGAGATCGAGATAGTGAGGGGTGAGCGTGAGAAAGGGGAGACAGTGAGAGTGAGGGGTGTGAGAGTGGTTGAGATGTGAGAGAGGAAAGGAGAAAAGAGAGGGGGGTTAATGAGAGAGATGAGAAGGGGTAAGAGGGAAGAGGACAGAGAAATTTGGCAGGAGAGGAGAGATAAACGTTAGAGAAAGGTGGTAATATATGCTCCTTGCTACGACTTTTTGGGAAGATTTTATATGAAAAAGTTTAAGAAATATTTGCAGAGCTAATTTTGCATGATTTTTCAGAGATGAAAGCGGTATTCCAAATGATAATGTATGATGTATAAGTGGGGTATTTTTTGATGAATCGTTTATTTGGGGGTTTTGACGATTTTTTCCTATGGTATACACAATGAATAAGTGTAATAAATATTGTTTGCGAATAAATGTCCAACAAGCCCTGGGGTTGAATATCGGAAGGTTGGGAGGGGGTGTTAAAAAAAGAACCTCTTTGACTTTGATTTCAGAAATTCATGAAATTGAACATGAAGGTCAAAAACTAATTTATATGAATAAAACACTCAAAACGTTTTCAAATAATTTTACTTTTGGTGCCTGCGAGAATTTTTTTTTACACTGTCATCACTCATTGATATAACCAGATTAAATTAGTTCCTCGTTTTTGGTTCTCCATTTAGCGTCAATATTCAGTTTCCAGTATTGAAATTTGGATTTGACATTTGTCGGTAAAATGCTTGTTTTACTTCCGTGTACAAACAATTAAAACAGGAGAATTTCTTTATCTAAGCAAAAGTCAAAATGTTTTGCATGGTTAGAAACCTCGATAAATCCATCTTTTGTTCTGGAACTCAGGCGAAGAGATTTTTCACGACTGCATGGACTGTGCCTGTTGAAAAGAGAAAGCATGTTTATGCAGACGTAAATACACACAAACCAAAAGAGTACTGGGATTATGACGCTCATCCTATGAAATGGGGTCGCTTTGAAGATTACAAAGTTGGAGAAAAATTGGGGAGTGGTAGATACAGTGAGGTGTTTGAAGCAACAAATACCAGAAACAATGAAAAATGTGTCATTAAAATTTTGAAGCCTGTGAAGAAGAAGAGAATAAGAAGAGAAGTAAAGATTTTGGAAAACCTACGAGGAGGACCAAATATAATCTCGTTGCTGGACATGGTGAAAGACCCTGTTTCAAGAACACCAGCTCTTGTGTTGGAATATGTGAATAATAGATACTTTAAAACCTTGTATCTAGAATTTTCAGACTATGATGTAAGATTTTACCTCTATGAATTACTGAAAGCATTGGACTATAGTCATCAAATGGGAATTATGCACAGAGATGTAAAACCAGCAAATATCATGATCGATCATGAAAACAGAAAACTACGCTTAACGGATTGGGGACTTGCAGAATTTTACCATCCGCACATGGCGTATAATGTTCGAGTTGCCTCAAGGTACTTCAAAGGACCAGAACTTTTACTAGGTCATAAAATGTATGATTACTCTTTGGATATGTGGAGTGTTGGGTGTATTCTTGCTCAGATGATATTTATGAAAACCCCATTTTTTCATGGACTCAACAATTCCGACCAGCTGTTTCAAATCCTAAGAGTTCTAGGAATTGATGATCTCAATTCGTACGTAAGGAAATATCAAATACATGTAAAATCTATCTCAGGAAATGATCTTAAGAGGATACCACATGTTAGAAAAAAACTGGAAAAATTTGTAAACAGTAAAAATCAGCATTTAGTGAGTGTAGAAGCATTAGAACTTTTAAACAGACTTTTATGTTATGATCACCAAGAAAGACTAACTGCAAGGGAGGCAATGGATCATGCATATTTCTACCCAGTCATAAAAGAACAAGATCAGGAGGGTATACCATCATCCACAACAATGTGATATTCAAAAATATGATGCAGTGGATTAAAGGAGATTTTCATTTTTATGGAAGTTGTATACTGTAAAGCAGCTTTTATTTGTGTGCGAGAAATATTCTTGAGCTTTGCAGCTTACTCATATTTATGATTATGGCAGTGCTTGAACTGTGATTCACCATTTCACCAATTGCATTTTTTTTTTCGTAAGTGGTGAAAATGATTTATTTGCAATAAATTTTATGGAAAATTTGTGTTATGTTTTTATCTTTCACCCGTTGAATGGTTGTTTGCATATTCATAAATTTTTGATTTTTTCTTTGCTGAATAAATCTTCCTATGGCCCTCACCATCATAGAACAAATGTATATAATTATTTATCCACAATTGTTTTTGTTTTGAAAACAGAATGTCTATTAACTTCTATCCCCGTTTCACCCGCAAAGTAGAATTGGAGTTTGGATGGTTATGTACTTTAAAGATTGATGATTGGGACAGTGGGAATAAATTTATAATTTAATTTAATTTTGAATTGATAAATTTTATTTTAAACAAAATAGGCATATTAAAAAAAAGATTAAATATAAATTATGAACATCCCCCCCCCCCCCCCCCGGTTATTCTTTAAAAGTAAACCTGTGTCATAAGCAAGGTACATTATATACTTTAAGATATGACCAGTGACTGAAATTTCCCTTAAAATGACATTTAAGTTTGGAGACTGTGTAAGACACCACTCATTTAGTTAAAGATTTTTGTTTTATTCTAATTTGTCATCTAAGGCACCCAGTCTAAGTGCTTAGAGTTTCAAGTTTTTATTTAAGACGAAGACCCCAACTGGAGGATATGAATACAAATAATACAAAATTTTAACATATAAACAAGAATGCATGAATGAATGAGTGGAACTAATGTTATTTACAATGCACATGTATACTTCAAAACATTAAAGTACCCCTCTGCTTATACAAAATAAAATATATGTATTAAAATATTTGTTACACAGTAGTTTTGCTATTACATGTATCAATTTATTACTGACAATAACATTTTACAAAATTTGGTAAGTCCAAAAATGACTTAGAAGTATCCTTACAATTTAATAAGTCATGAAATTCGATGACGTTAGGGTTAGCATAAAAAAATATTTGGAACCAGTTTTTTTTTTCGTTCTCTCGTGAGAAAAGCACATTCTAAAACGTAGTGGGATTATTTTGTTAGAGGAACAAAGATCACAAATACGATACATAGGCGCTTGGTTCAGGATGGTGTATTTTGTGTATTATGTGTTTTTCTATGTGTGTCTGAATACCCTTATCAAAATAAAAATAAAAATTCGCTGAAATTAGCACGTTTTAAAAATGTCATATTTACTGTCTTCTTTTTATATACAATTGTGTACAGTAAATATGACATTTTTAAAACGTGCTAATTTCAGCGAATATTTATTTTTATTTTGATGAGGGTATTCAGACACACATAGAAATACACATAATACACAAAATACACCATCCTGAAACCAAACGCCTATGACACGATCATCCCTGTCCACTCCCCAAAAGCGACATACATCTAACTTTACATCAAGCGTTTTTCAAAATCCTTTGCAAACAGTTTTCAAAATTGTTTTTTAAATATCCTATAATTAAGAATTTTTGGCAGGCATACAATGCTGCTGAAAGTCAAAATCATGAAAACTCACTACAGGATAGCACTCGGAGTTCCTCGGATGGCTCGTACCTGACATACCAGGATTGCTGATATAAGAGAGGGTCTATATTCGTCGATGTGCTGTCTTTTTGTCTATGATAAAATAAGACCTATGTGATAATCAACTCATTAACTTGCTTACATTGAATAATAATAGACAGTATTTGTTAAAAACCACAGAATTAACATTCAAATAATTCCGCCAAATGCACTACGGGTGAAACACAATAAAGGGGACAGTAAGGTTGCACTTGAGGGTAAAAACTTAATGTCTTTATTTTGGCCCAAAATTTGTTTCTCTAAAAAGTAGATTATCTCAAGGATCTGCAACATAAACGGTTTTGTGAAATTCACATTAGAACTTTGTTTTTTACAAATGATAATTTTTCGGACACTACAAGTGTTGTTGTTTTTGAAATAAATATTGAAATTAATAAACTTTAATTTTTTCAACTGTCCAAACAAACAAATTAACACATAAAAATACAAATATGGACATAAAAAAAGGTTGCATCTACTTTAAAATGAAAACAGTTCAGTTCATTTTTGTTTAAAATGGCTTTCAATTTATGAAACCAATATAAATAAGCTGATTTGAAATATAAAAGAGATTGGCCAGATTTCACCCCTCCCTGTATTGCGATATGTATTGCAATATTTTCGAAAAAATGACATTTTCTTACTCCTCATTAAAACTATGTATATTTGATTTTTAAAGTTTTCTTACATGCTTGTCAAACCCTTCTTAAATTTTTATATTTATTGATAAAATTCCTTAGTCTAAGCCTTTTGCCGATATATCAACATTATAAAAACTTCTTCTTTATTTGTTATTGGCTTTTGGTTTGTTAAAAAAAAAAACATTTTATAAACTTCTGACTTTTAAAATTTATACAATGTATGTAATTTTAAAGCAATTCACTCGGGATGGGTTTAAGAAATCCTGAAACTTCCTTTTTTCACATAACTATATAATTGAAGTGCAAAAGAAAAGTTCACTAATTCATTAAAGTTTTATGAAAACTATTAGACAAGAGAGAACAACTTAAACAAAACAATATAAATTTTTCTTGACAGCTGACTTTGCACTAGGTTTCTGACAAACTTTTAGTTGATACACATGTAACTTTATACAGCAATTTCCCTTTAATGACATATTTCTTTAATTTATTTTTTTATTCTAGGGGTTAAATATACAATGTGTTGGTGTAATTTTAGTTGTTTTCTTTTTTTAAATTTTTTGTAGCTAATATTTATGTTTAACATTTTGAATGCAAATTTACTTGCATTTAACTTTCATTTAAAGGCATTCAGTATATTATAGTGCTTACTAATTTTATGTCATTTTGGGTGTCCAGTCATTATTTTAAGAACTAGCAGTAAAGAAAAAAACACCTAATCTAAAAGAATTCCAGCCAATAAACACCTTTTTATCTGGTTCAAAAATTTATCTGTAAATTTTAGTAAACATATTCAAACTTTTGGGTTAGTACACTATACAAGTATTTATTCATCAAAACAAAAGGTCTGATTTTATTGTGTCTTTGATAAAATACGATCTTTATGATAATCAACTTATTAACATTCTTGTATTACTTAAAAAAGGCTGTATTTTTAAAAAAGTTAAGATCATAATAGAGAAACATTGATGATAAAAATTACAACACATGTCAGCATCTACATTAAATGCCTCTACTTTGTTATAATATGCCTTAAAAATGGTTACGGCTTTTTTTGTAAAAACTTTTTTCCACATTAAAACATCATGAAATTTCTTTACAATGGTTACATAACGTAAGTAAAGTTATTACTGTGTTTTTAGTAAAAATTAAATAATATGGACATTATTTTTATTTGGCATAATGTAAAATTATGGAAAAATGTAAACATTGTGTACATTTTCTTTCATATCTTCAAAAGTTGTTATTCAATTCTGAAAATTCAAGCATCAAAATAATTTGTAAAATAAATTCTAAAGTCTGATAATGATCACTGGCATGAAAATATATGATATTTAAAATTATTTCAATTGAAAAATGTTGTAATTTCAAAGCGCAACCGCATAACGCTGAAAAATAGTCATTTTTGGGGTACATTTTTTGCATTTACTTAAATTCTGTTAAGGCTAGATCAACAAAATTTTGCACACAAGTCCTTTATAAGTATTCCTATAAATGAATTACAATAAATTGCATGTAAAGAAAATAACATTTCTTAAAATCATATAACAATGTGGTATTCTAAATGCGCCCTATATTGTGTTTCACCCGACTACTTTATGATGGCGGCTTTCTTAAAAAGTGTGATTTTTATGGACAATCTGATTAAAATCAGATCCTTTGATCCGCTCACATAGATCACTACACAAAGGATCCGCTCACATAGATCGCTACACCTTGTGTAGCGATCTATGTGAAAAAAAATTCAAGAATTTTGCATTAAAGTTATAAAAGGTGTGTAAAATTAAGGAAAAAAGAAAGTTCTGTATGTAATGAGTTTTAATCAGGCTCTAGGGCTATATAGATATGGGGGCCTAAATCTGCAGGACCATTGCGATGAAGATAACGAACTTTTGCAATTGACATTCATAAAATGTGCCTTTTCGACGGTGAAGCATACGCCTTCCTTACACATGCTATGCGATTTTCAATAGAAAACAATGGAATAACTTTTAATATCACATGTTCTTGAACCTGAAAAAATCACTTAGGCCTACTTTATGCAATATTCCGCCAGAATCAATGATGTCATGACGTCATAGTAACACATTTGTAAACAAAACGTTGAACACGGATTTTTACATAACATACATCAAATACCGTGTATATGCATATGGATTTTTACTCCCCATGTTGAAAGAACATGTTTGGATTAGTTTTTATTCAAAAAGATAACTGGCCATTTGTAATTCCGACATCTAGGCCTAATTCAAGCCTACTCGTGTTCTTCAATGGAAGAGCAATATGTTAATAATAAAAACAATTTTGAATAAAACTGTTAAAATTTTGTAAAATATTGTTTTTTAAGTTGCATTTGATAAGTACATGACAAAGAATTAATAGTAATTTATAAGACTTATACAGGAATCTTTCCCAAATATTGCAAAAAGGTTTCTGTGGGTCACTTGGGCAGTTGTTTTATAAAATTTTATAGACAAAAGCATGATGTTTGCTTGTTCCACATGTGTACTCAAACAAATGATCAATAAACGATTCCAGTTAACGCAATCATACATGATGAATTTTGTATAACTTAACGTTATTGACAAAACATTGTAGATCACAAAGCACAAAACCGAACACCATCTTGTTTTATGACGTGAGTACAACGTTTTGGAGCTCTTAGCTCATTGGATAATTCACCTTTTGAGAACCAATCAGCACGAGCAAAATTAAGCCAATCGGCAGCATGCATATTCCCGAAAAAAGCATATAAGCACGAGAGCTCTAGGATTCAGCATCAGTTGCATTTAACGCATTGAGAGAGAGAGACGCAAAATGAGAACCTCCAAGATCATCAGATCTGCCGCCATTCTTGGCACATTTCTGTCAACAACAGGCCGGGCCCTGCATCTAGACATATTTGAGTGAGTAACTTAATATTGATATAAAATGTTTTAATAAATATAACGTTAAATTATTTGTTGCTTTACAAAAGAGCGTCTTTAGCAACACGTTTTGTTTTGTTTACAGGTTGGGTAGTGATGTATGGCAGTTTAGTGAGGAGACGGGTGCCACATTAGGGGTAAGTTGCTAACTGGAATTTAATGAATTTTTTATGCATTCAGTGTTCTTTCCTTTTATTGTGTTTGTGTTCTAGCATTCAGTCTCTATAAACTTTCTCTCTCTTTCTTAACTTTCTCTTAGCGTGAGCTGTTGTCGCTCGGTGACAGTGTTTACAGCTTTACCACAACCACCTCTGCTGCTGCTCTGTCTTTCTTCTCGGCAACAGATCTGCTCTTCTTTCTGGCCTTTCTGCTCTCTGTTGTTTCGTTTGTTGGTTGTGCTCAGTTTGTTCGTCAGTTCAACACTACACTGCAAGACCTAAGAGGAAAAATGGCAGATCTTGCAGAAGGTTAATTTTGTTTGTTTCTTTGTACTTCCTGTTGTATTTGCCATTTTACGGAGGCTTTTCATATTTTATCTGAACCAAAAGGAAATTTATGGTTAAATTTTCCTTGATTACATTTTCAGAAAACGTGCAGATGAGGCTAATTTTAACAGCTCTTATGAACGATGCCGAGGAAGCCGAGAAACTATTAGGTAAGTAGGACTCTTGCCCAAAGAAGTTCTTGTACATAAAATAATCATTATTCCATAACATTGAATTGAATTTTACTTTACGTTTTATTATTATCACTTGCATATTTCATTGCAGCTTTGAAATTGAGCGCCCTATCCCAGGAACAGCATAGCCTGGGCAAGTGGCTGAATTTCCACACCGACATGTTCAGCATCAGGTACCATAAACATTAAACAATTATTTTACCCAGTATTTTTGTTTCATTTGCTAATGCCCCCCCCCCCCCAAAAAAAATATACAGATTAATGACATTTTATAATTTGATTTCAGATTGAACAGCATGGAGAGCCAAACCCACAAAGCACCACAGAGCCGTAGATATAGAAGATAAAACATTGGGCCATAGTGAACATGAACTTTGCTGTAGCAGTTGTTTTTTTTTTAAATTATTGAACAGTTTTAAAATATGCCACATTAAAGTGATGTTACCTGAATGTTTACTTCGTTTGAATTTTTCTTAGCAGTCAAGATCATCGGAGCTAGAGAGTAACCGAGCATTTGCAAATAAAATGCAAATGTGCGTTAGTCATAAGATTCAGAAGCAGAGAAAAAACAACATCAGATCATGTCTCTAGATTCTGCTAAAAAAGATACTGCCATGCCGTAAAATTCATTCAAGGAAACATGAAAAATGCAAGTTTAAGTTTTTTCGGCCAGATAGACAACTACAACAGACAGACAGGCGGACAGGGCAAACACTACCCCCCCCCCCCCCCCCAATCTTTGATTTATATAAAGATATATTACTGAAGAAAGTAATCACTGCGAAAATGAAAATAAAATTAATTTGTTTCTAGATCTGTTGTTATTTAGCAAACGTAAAGTTAAGGACAGATGATACAAACAAAAAAATTGGATGTCTGGATTGGTATATTTTTTGGGGGGCCTATTTTTGTTGCAAATGATGTTAGGCCACACCAAAAAAATTTTTTGTTCGTCGGACCCGTGCGCTCGATCGAATTTAAACAAAACTTTGAAAATAATATTAATTTAAATTTCCCGCACCATGGGGATTCTGTGCTATTTTCTGTTTTATTTCCGCTCTATTTATCGTATTTTAATCGGCTTACTCTGAAAATCAGAAAAAATTAATTGTCCACTCATTTTTTTTCACGATCCGCCTAAAAATGTCGCCCACAAAAGTAATAATATTATTATTATCGTACTAATATCGTAATAATATTATTATTATCGTACTTTTTTTCATCAAATGTCCGACGAACAAGAAATTAAATTGGTGTGTCCTAATAACAAATTTGTAAAATATAAAGAAATTGTAAACCTTCTTTGATATTCAAAATTTTACCTTTCTGCAACCACCCTAATTAATCTATACAAATGATTTTTAGCTCAAATTCCATTTAGAAACATTGAATGAAAAAATTAAAAACCACGCAGTGAAACTTGTTCATTTTACTCATTAAAACATTACTCAAGTTGTAATTTTCAATTGTCTTGACAAAATTTTGTTTGTATCATCTGTCCTTAATTGACACTGACATTCTGGGCACACAAGCTGTGCGATGAAAATAGTTTTCGGGGACATAATGGGTACATGTATATTTTAACAAGAAAGGAGAAAATATGCATGTATTGCTGTCCAAACCGGGAGTCAAAACTGTCGAATGAACCCTGACCCCTGTATCACTAGCCAGGCCCTCGATCTACCGAATGAGAAACTGGCATATTAATTGTGGGTAAAAAAGAAAATACAAAAAAAAAAAACAACCCCAACATATGCCTTAAGTATGGTGGGATTATTTTATGCAGACAAATAGTTTGGAGACCATGTTTAACCATATTTTATCGTCTCTAGTGAATCCAAAGTATTTTACAGTAATTTAGCCAATTAAAAAAGTCCAACTTGAAATAACAAAGCCAAAGATTAACCCAAAACATCATAGGTTGAAAGAAAGTAACTTCCTTTTGGGCATCAAATGTCTAAATTTGTGCATGTGTGTGTGAAAAAAGGACATCAACCAGCCAAATTAGTACATAATTTTTTTTAAGAATTCTAAGAATTTCATGGGTCATCTTTAAAATAATGTTTGCTTGCCCTCTCCCGACTCAGGGAAAATTACTGGGTTGGAAGGTAGGTGGGGAAAAAAAAAAATTCCAGAAAATTTCAACATATATTTTGTTGACGGGGTATGAGGAATAAAAAGAAGAAAAAAAATCGTGTCCTCGAATGTAAAAAAAGAAGGTTTTGAATCGAGCCATTTTCAGTCAGTCGGTTGGGAAAGGACAACCATGCATGCAAACAATTTTTTAATGGTGGCCTGGACGACTTTGGCTGAGTGATGTATAATAATAGCATAAGAGATGTCGATCCCAAAAGAGTAAATTATTGCGTTTCAACGATTTGTTTTTGTCAATTTTAATTTATTTGTGTTTGTTCTTAATTATATAACATCAAAACCAATCCGTCCACGGTTTGATAATTTATCATATTACTCAGTATGTATAAAAAGAATTTTCAAATTTTTTTCAATGTACAAAAAGAAGAAAAACGATTTTGAAGAGACATCTTTTGAACGAGATGTTTCGTGTACGAATTGGTTTATGTACGCATCGACAGAACACCGCCTATGAAAAATTGCGGGAAATAAAAACAAAAACAAAAACATGGATATGTCAGGATTTGAAAGCGATAACATGAAAAACTGCATGATAGAATCTTGTTTACCAGACTGTGTTAAAACAGAGCCATGCTGGTTAGGGATTGATGAGGCTGGTAGAGGCCCAGTACTTGGTAGATTGACTACTATGCGTCTAATTCGAATTTCCTCAGATATCTTTTTGAATATTTTTATGAACTCAACATGTTTTTTTTTTCCAGGTCCTATGGTGTATGGAATTTGTTTTAGTCCCCTCTCACTCCGAGAAAAATTTGGGGAGATGGGTTTCGCTGGTAAGATTTATTCCAACAGATACGAGATTGTAATGTTGCACAGGATATGTGATCTCAAACAATTTGATTTTTAATGTTTTATTTGACCTAACCTTTAGGAAACCCGAAACTTTGATAGTTCAAGGTTGTTATCAAGGTGCAAATTTAAAAGCATTTTTGTAAAACACAAAAATTACACTGCTTGAGTTTGATAACTGTGATGGATATTCATTTTAAAAGGACAACCACTATCAACTGAACAGTGTAATCAACTGTGGTTTGAACAGTCAGGTCGAAATAGGAAAACCTTACCCTCAAATGGGGATAAGAGCTTGGGCAGATGCTTTCAATGTGTGTATTTCATACAAATAGTATAGATTTACAAAAAATGAGATGCAGAGTATACTACCTGACATTTTGCAAATGTAAAACCACTCCGAGATATATGATGAAGTTATTGAAGAGTTTGTATTTTATAAAAAAAAAACTATTCGTCTTTTATTTAAAAAAAATTATCAGAATCGCCACTTGTACCCAGCAATATTCACTTATTGTAGAATATTTACAATTAGTACTGAAAATTTTAAGCCAGTACCCTTTTAAAAAAAATTGACATTAATCCCACTGAGGATCTAAAACTTTTTGGAAATCAATCATTTGATGGAGAAATTGCTTGCCAAAAATTATTGCTTGAATATATAAATCAGAAAGATTTGTCTATTATCTTGACACAACTGAAAAATCTTTAACAATATTAAAAACAAACTAGTGCTTATTGTAACAGGAACCGTTACAGATGTTCCCCAAACGCTCCCCAACTTCATTTGGTGCCTCATTCCCTCTAAGCTTCATCAAATAAACTAAACCCTATGCATCTTAAACGTAAACAACGTTTTTCCTAAAGTATACCAAGTATATAGCAAATTTTTGCATTGCACGTGCGCACACTTGCATGCATATGCGGAATGACCATATCATTGTATCTACACTATCAATTTATTTTAATGTACTTAATATCAAGGCATTTAATCAAAAAGTATTCAAAAATACGGTAAATCAAGTGCGTTTGTAATGATACATCTTGCATGTGCACGCACGAGCGTGCATGTGCATGATGACCATTCCCTCTTGTAGGGGTCCATAAAGACTATCTATGTTCTAAATCCCATCCTTGTTTGGCTGAAAACCAAGGGAGTTATAGGCATTTAAAGTTTTAGCCAATCAGATTGCAGCGCACGTGCATGCGCGTGATTTCTTGAATATTATCTATCATATCGTAGGATATCTTAATGCATGACTATGTTTTAAATTTCAAAGTATTTCGTCAAAATACGAATAAGGTATTCAGATTTTTGTTTCAGCCAATCAGAGCGAAGCGCACGTGCATGCGCGTGAGTTCATGATAATTTGACCATGTCCTCTTGTCTGTAATACTAATATATTCTTTTATTCTGAGTTTCAACACATTTCATCTGAAAATAGAAAAGTTACGGCTATATCAATTATATTGGTCATTTTACATGTTGCACGTGCGCGCTCTTGCAAGCACATGCGCGCAAAATGACCTTGATTCAGCAAATCTACATAACATGTCTACTTACCCTAAAAAGATTTTACTTACATCAGATGAACAGTTTACCAGATCATTCGCGGACAAATAAGTACCCAGGAAGAAGAAAAATAATAATAAGAAACAGAGTAAAAACAATATGTTCCCCAACTTCGTTTGGGGAACATAATGAGTTTATCAAAAAGGATTCTAAAAAAAATATATAAATTTCATTAGGCAAGACTTCAGACTACACAATATCCAGCTGAGACATGTTTTACTGTATTTTATATTGTAATTAATCACCACCAAAATAAATTTAAAAAAAACACAAATGTTTGTAATCTCCTTATCTTTTCTGCATCATTTTATATCTTAAATACATTATTATACTATACAATGTACATGTAAAAATGATTTTTTTTAAACACCAGATTCAAAGACTTTAACAGAAGAAGAACGAGAGGGAATATTTGAGAAAATCTGTGATGCCTCGCATATGATGGGATGGATTGTTGAACTGTTGTCACCAACATTTATATCAAATGGAATGCTTGGAAGGTAAAGCAAAATAATGTAAATGGGGAGGGGCAGATGTAACATGTTATATGCCCATTGTATGATGAAAGTCCATTTTTTCCTTAAATGCTTCAATGAATTAAAATTTTGTGTCCCATAGACTCTCTTGAGAGGGATATGGATATTGTATGTATGTACCTTTTATAATATATATAGTGGAAGTAAATGTAGCTGTTAGGGAAGTAAGCACTAACTTCATCATAATTGACCTATTTATATGATATTTCCATTCCTCTCCATTTCCAGCCATGCTTAAATTGTTTGCTGGAACTTTCAGCAAAAACTCCTCTTATCAAATCACATTCAAGTACTTTTTACTCACTTAAATCACTTATTTTTCATCTGTCTCTATATCTTAAAACAGGTCAAAGTACAACTTGAATGCAATATCACATGACTGCGCAATACGCCTGATACAGCGAGCCCTGGATGTTGGTGCCAATATCGCAGAGGTTTACGTTGACACAGTGGGGGATCCAGCCAAATATCAGGCCAAGCTAAAGGGTCTGTTCCCAAACATCGAGATCACAGTGGCCAAGAAAGCTGACGCCCTATATCCCATTGTCAGTGCCGCTAGTATATGTGCAAAGGTGAACTTGAAGTTTATGAGTGCATTTGTACACAGTCACTCTTATATGGTGAAAATTATTAAGATAATTAAATTTCATGTGTTTTCCTCTTGCAAAAGTTAAGCAAAACTATAAAGTTTGTGCAATATATTTCAAGTTAGTATATTTGCAATTATTATGGAAATAATTTCAAGAAAATTTCATGTAGAATTTATGCACTATATAGGCACAGTATTGTAAAAAATTATTTGAAGATCATGCAAGTCAAATTTCCTTTAGTGTATAGGATTTTTATTATGACATTTTAAGCCTGAGAAGGAGAAAGAGTATTGACTGTAAATAGACTAAATACCGGCATATTATTGTGTTCTTAGATGTTCTTCCTTGGAGTAAAATAGTACATACTGTAAATCTGGAAATTTTTGCTGTAGATAAATTTTTAGCAGATTTGCGAGTCCATTGCATTCGCAAAAATATTTTCTCAAAAATAAATTACCAATAATAAAATGTAAACAAAGCAGTGGTCATACGCAAAATTTTGAAACGTAAAAATTAATCAACAGCATTTTGACTCAAATTCGCAAAATAAAATCGTTTTTAAAATTTCCAGATTTATGGTATGCATATTAAGTGACAATTATCTGAAAATCTTCTGTTAACTTTCGTCTGTGCTTTTATAAAATTTGTTGTTTAGAAACAATGAAATTTCATTCAAAGCTTTTTTTATTTCTATACAGGTTTGTAGAGACAGGGCCATATCTAAGTGGAAATTTCAGGAGGAGATAACTGTTGATGAAGAGGGCTATGGAAGTGGTTACCCAGGAGGTAAAAATAATTGTAACACTACCCCCTCCTTGGGAATCTTATAATTGCAGGTTTATTTTCATTCATGCCTGTGTTCATCAAGTCAAGGATTTCTGATCATTCCTTTTCATGTATATGAAACATGAGACATGGGAAGAAAATGGTGTTCTTCAACAAGTTAAAAATTGTAAAAGCAAATTTATTTTGTTTTTACTAAATAATTACTTCTCAAATATTCTCAAGAGGAAATATAAAAAAAAGCATTAATTATATTTCCTTAACAGATCCAAAAACCAAGAAGTTTTTATCAGACAGCCTGGATAAAGTGTTCGGGTTTCCTCAGTTTGTTCGGTTCGGATGGTCAACAGCTGCAGTAATGGTTCAAAAAAGTTGTGTTCAGGTTAAATGGTAAGGACATCTCAACATCATTTTGAACAAGTTGTGTAAACCAATGAAAAATGTAAATTAACCTAAAATTTAATTTATCAATGCTGTAGAATCAGTCATAGGTGTAAGGCACTATTTGCAGAATCATGTGTATATAAGCATGTGAAAGACGATTAACTGATTAAATATTGAGCTAATTTTAAAAACAAAATTTTGATATGGAATAAGATATTGGAAATATCCTCTCTTGTTAAAATTAAATGACATTGAATATTCTTTTAGCAATGTTTTATTTGTCTCATGGACAAACTTTCAAGTGCATGCATCCATCGTGTCAGATTTTGTAATCAATGTTTTCCTCTTTCAGGGAAGACGATGAAGAAGATGATGAAAAGGATTCTGTGAAATTAACATCCTTCTTTCAAAAGAAAGGTCATGACCCCAAACTAGATAGACATTCATATTTCAAGGACAGGTGTCTTGGCTCTGTAGAATCATTTTGATTATTGTTTATTAAAAAATAATTTATGATTAAAAAAAATATTGTTGATGTTATGTAGACTTTAAGAGGTTTGTCAGTGTTAGTGAAATCATAGATTGTGCTTAAAATCGTTTTTTCATAAGTACGGAAATCTCCAAGGTCAAGGTCAGTGAAAGGTCTTGCCACATTAAATACATATGTGAAGTATGGAAGCCCTAACCTTCAAAAGTTTTGGCCAAGAATAAAGATTTTAAAAAGTAGATCAAACTCCATGGTCAAAGGTCTTGCTATCAAATGAAAGGTCTTATCACAAGGATTAATTATGTAAAGTATGAAAGCACTAACCTTAATCCTTTAAAAGTTATGGTCAATGTTTGCTTTTTAAAAAGTTGGGTCAAAACTCCAAGGTCAAAGGGTCAAAGTTCTTGGTATCCTTGCAATGAAGGGTCTTCATACAATGATTGCATATGTGAAGTATGATATCACTAGCCCTTAGTGTTCAAAAGTTATGGCCAAGGTTAAACTTTTTTCATAAGTACAAAAATGTCAAAGGTCAAGGAAATTGGTATCCAATAAAAGGTCTTACCACAAAGAATACATATGTAAAGTATGGAAGCCCTAGTCTTAACTGTTCAGAAGTTATGGCCAAGGTTAAAATTTTTTAAAAAGTAGGTCAAACTCCAAGGTCAAGAGGTCAAAGGTCTTGCTAACAAATGAAAGGTTTTGTCACAAGGATTAAATATGTAAAGTATGAAAGCACTAGTCCCAACCCTTGAAAAGTTATGGCCAAGGTTTACTTTTTAAAAGTAGGTCAAACTCCAGGGTCAAAGGGTCAACATTCTTGGTATCCAATGAAGGGTATTGTCACAAGGATTACATATGTGAAGTATGAAAGCCCTATCCCTTACCGTTCAAAGTTAAGGCCAAGGTTAAAGTTTTTTCATACATGTAAGTACGGAAATCTCAAAGGTCAAGGTCAAAGTTGTTGGTATCCGATGAAAGATCTTGCCACAAAGAATACACATCTTAAGTATAGATGTCCTGGTATCTACTGTTCAAAAGATATGGAAAAAGTAAAAATTTGGAATTTTTGTGTAAAAGTGGGTCAAAATCCAAGGTCAAAAATGATGGTACCCAGAGAAAGGTCTTGTCACAAGGAATACACATGTTTACAGGGTCGTAATAACATCAAGATTGACAATTAAAAAAGGGTATTAAAGAAACTTGTATAATATTTGTTTTTTAATTGACTATAAATAAAATAGTGTATAATACATCCATTGAACCAAATGTATTTTAACTGATGTACATTTGAAACAGCTGAAACAAGGCACTAAATGATCTGTGCATTGCAAACAGCTAGCACACATGAAAACAAAAGCTATGTATTTTCATTCTTTCATATGAATAATAGCAGTCTTTACAGTGTCCAGTTTTATCATTGACAATGAAATGGTAATTTTAGAATTTTTCTTCAAAAGATCGCTGTAATTATCATTTAGTCGTCTTTCTAGGTTTCATTATTATTTTCATCTTCTTCTGTCTCCTCTTCTTCTTCCTCTGAACATTCATCTTCAATCTCATCTAGTCCACTCGTCAGATCATCGTTACTCTGGATGCCATTTATTCCACTTTGTCCAATCATTATGTAATCTAGTCCCTGTTAAGTTAAACGTTTTTACATGTATTATTAATAGGATGCTGACAAATGGATGTGGAATATTTACTGTAATATGCTCAGAACATTTAATTTAGGTAAAATCTGTTTATCAAATGTTTTTGATATTTTCTTGGGAAGTGGATTAGCAAGAGGCATTACAAAATAAAATCTCCAAAGACTAATGTGGGTGGGAGCACTTCTCACAGATGACCAAGTATTAGTATATGATCTTCAAACTATACATTAATTGATTTGCTATTCATAATTATACAATGTTCACTGTACAGGAACCTGACCTTCTAGTTCTACGGCTTCTACACATTACATCTTTCTACATATAATCTATTACAATACTAGAACTAGAGGTACTGTGAGCAAAAGGCTCGTAAAATTATACCCTCTGCCTCCCATATGATTATAATTGCAATGTCCATGTTTTACTCTGGGAGACCCGAAATATTTGTCACATCAAAAAGTATCGTAAGAGGTCACAATGGCACTAGGTAACAAATATGTCACCAGGTTCACAGGTGCGTGAAGGTCAGTCAGTATATCGGGTCTCGATAGCTAAGTTGGTTAGAGCCAGAGACTCTTGGATCGAGTCCCGATTGAACTTGACTTTTCATCACCTGTAACATTTGGCACCCTGATGTAGGGTCCTGGGTGTTCTCTGGTGGGTGAGAGTGATTGCCCCTGTAACTTTGCCCCATAGGTGCCAGCACTTCAAAAGAGATGAGGACACCTCATTTTCTGGAGGGAGACAATGTAGTAGTGTAAGATACAAGGCATCCTACACGCTTGGACTATTAGTTCAATTGGTAGAGCAATGGACTGGCAAGCCAGAGCCCCAGGTTCAACCCCCCCAGCAGAGGCACAAAATTGTCTCTGTTATACAAAGAATATGTAAAAGCATCATCAAATTTCATAGTGGTATAGGAGGAGTTGGGATAAGAGATGGGACCCCAAAGTGTTACTTTTCAAATCAATTATGGAAATTGTTTTTGGTCCAATTCTGATGAAACATATGGAGATAGCGAACAGTATTCAAGACAATGGAATGTGATAAATTCTTCAAGACAATGGAATCTGATAAATTCTATCTTTTATTATAAGATATATGAAGGAAACTTACCTTCCAATGTGGTGGTTTTTCCTTGATTTCATTGTCTCTGAGATCAAATTTAGTAAGTTTGGATAATGCAAGTATTGTGTCATCTTTGACTTCTCTCACAAAATTATTCTTCATTAAAAGACAGGTGAGGTTTGGAAGTTCAGAAACTGAATCTGGTACTTCACTTATCTGGTTCTGATTTAAATTGAAATGCGTCAAACTTTTCAAATTATAGAAAGATTTAGGTAAAAATCTTATCGTATTTTCCGATAAGCACAACCAAGATAGATTTTCCAACTGTGTGAAACTGGGAGGAAGAGATTCTAAATAGTTTTCCCGGGCACTTAACTTCCTCAGATATTTCAAGTTTCCTATGTTTGATGGCAGGTTAACTAGCTGACAATCCACAATCCAGAGCTGATGAAGGCTACTTAGCTGACAAATCTCCTCGGGTAGAACACTTAGTGGGTTATGACACAAATTTAGGTATGTTAGATTTGTCAGTTTGCACAGTCCCGTTGGAAGCAAAGTCAGTTTATTGTTATCCAGAACAAGTTCTTCCAATTTGACTAGATCAGTTAACTCTGATGGAGGCATCATTATTTGATTGTCATTCAATAAAAGACGTTTAACATTTTTCAATTTTTGAAAACTGCTTGAAAGAACACCAATGTTTCTATGGCTTAGATTAATTGTCTCATGGCCATTTGCAATCGCTTTTTGCAAAATTTCTTCCACTATTAAAAGGTCCATCTTGTGACTGCATTTCTGCAATAGAATATTATCAATTGGTATTCATCATAAACTTAAAAAAGATCCAGCATTCTTTATAATCATTTTCAATTCCAAATTTGCTTCAATTGCACATCGAAGCATTCTTATTTAATCTTTTAAAATTAAAGAAATACGTTGGTTTTATCAAGAAAGGAGTTTTTATCGTCTCTGTGATATTTGAATAGATCAAAGGGTCGGAATTTTGTTCAAAAATTTTTCAGAGGAAATTCGAAACTATTGAGTTAGCTTGTTAAAAGAATCTATGTTCAACCACGGGGTTATACTTACAAATAAAATATAATCTTAAGGCTTTCTAGAAAGTTTAATGAGCCATAATTCATAAGAAAACAATGGCACAAACCTGCACTATTAAAACATTTCACATTTTACGGCGTCGTAAATACCATGAGAACCGAGCAGATACATTTTTTCGTTTTCTTTCGAAGAAGAGTTCGAATTCCTTATATCATTTTAAAAAAGAGTAAAAATTTATGTGTTAATCTCTCTGTATGAAATTCCATGAGATAAAATTACGTTTAGTATGAAAATAATCATTAAGATTTCATATCTGGTCAGTTGTTTAATGGATTTTACCAATATTTCCAAAGATATTAAATAAATGTTGTTTGAAGGGGTCTACTTTCACTTTGACTTTTTCTCCCCGACACATCTCGCTTCATGTTACAGGTTTATCTGCCAGTAACAATAACATTAGTAGGTCTATTGCACATCACGTATACTCAGGATCTTGATGGAGAGCCAGGTATGTCCTGCTTGAGTATTGTACACTTGTATGATCATTTTCGCACTCGGATCTCATCTCTGTAAATTTTGCACCGAGGAGCTATACATAATTTATTCATAATTCATTGAGGCACGTGGAAAAAAGTAGATAAAATGCCATATTTTTGTAGAAATTAGTTGTTTTTTCTTTTACATTGTAGATTACACAAACATTTTGTATGGTGGTGTTTTGCGAGTAGAAGAACAAGATGACACGATTAAAGAAAGCCAAGATGTTATTCAGGTGATTTGTAGTGATGATATGTAAAATATATTGAGAATTAATATGTTTTACAGTGTGACCATTGGTGTGAGCGCAGTTGTACCTTCAAAAATACACCTGAAATGTTGCTCCGCCACTTCAAACGTCAAGTCGCATGAGACATCTAGACTGTGACGTCATACAAGAGCTCGTCAGGGTTTACTGAAACAGCGGAGCATCTAGTTGAAACTATTGATCTAGAGCAATTTTTGTAGAAAGACATTGCAGAGTTATTTTTTTTTTTTCTTTTAAAGATTTCTACAAAATCAAAGCCTTCTATGCTTATGTAATTATTTATTTATTTATTCTCTCAAAGGGTTTGGGTAGCAAAGGAATTCTGAGACTTAAGGTTTCACACAAAAATTTGCCTGACATATGTACAGATTTCAATCCGAACTTCCTCTGTTCTTACCCATTAGTCTTTTGAGCTCGCTTTGTCACAACACTCGCTGCGCTTGCTTTCATTATAAACAGAAAATGCCTAAAACTGCATTTTTTTTTTTTTTTTTTTTTAACAAAAAACTGTGCTGAAATACTTGGGTCTCTAGATGTTGAGAATTTCATGCACGTATTGAATGCAGAATACATGTGTTTTATAAATTTATACAAAGACCACCATTTTTAAAATTCCAAAAAAAATTTCATTTTCTTGAAAATTAACATAGATTCCAATCTCTAAGATTAAATAAATGTAAACAATTAGATTTCTTTACAATTACTGGGTATAAGATACATTTCGATGCATATATATTAAATTCAAACTTGGATCATTTTAGTTTGCAATCTCCTTTGTGAAGATAAGATACCCAATCAGTGAAACACGAGGGAAAGAATCAAGAAAAGTTTCATCTGTCAAGAAACTGGTAAGATATGATAAACACATGCAAGAAATAATACACGTACTCTGTAACAGTGTCATTTTTAGCTGACCTCGACGAAGTCGAGACGAGCTTATGCTATACACCCGGTGTTGGTGTCGGCGTTAGCGTCGGTGTCCCGGTTAGGGGTGAAACGATACGCCTCCTTCACGGTTCGATACGTATCGAAAAATTTGGTCTCGGTTCGGTTATTTTCGATACGATACATTTTGATAGAAGGAAACAAATTCAACTGTTGTTTTATCCTTCCTTTTATTTAATCTAGTCAAAGAATTTATGTGCAAAATGGATAGAATAAATCACCTTAATTGATTTGACTGTTAAAAATCATTTTACAAACTTTAAGTCCACAAAAATTTACGTTTTTGAACTAATTACACAGAGAAGCATGTTTATACCTTATGCTAAACTCGACTGAATGACGATCCCGACCGAAAAACGAACCGAACCGAAAGTAGAGATTTTGTACCGTGTATCGAACCGAGGAAAACCGATACCGCGGTGAACCGTTTCACCCCTAGTCCCGGTTAAAGTTTTAGGAGCAGGTCCATTCCCATGTAACTATAAGTCCTACCTGGACCAAACTTGCATGGATGATGCATCTAGGGATGGACACTACCAAACTTGCTTCGGATGCTGGATCTGACCTACATTTTCCAGATGAGTGACCAGGTTAAAGTTTTAGGAGCAGGTCCATTCCCAAGTAACTATATGCCCTACACAGAGCAAACTTGCATGGATGATGCATCTACGGATGGACACTACTAGCCTTGCTTCGGATGCTGGATCTGACCTACATTTTCCAGATGAGTGACCAGGTTAAAGTTTTGGGAGCAAGTCCATTCCCAAGTAACTATAGGCCCTACCCAGACTTAACTTGCATGAATGATGCATTTAGGGATGGACACTACCAGACTTGCTTCGGATGCTGGATCTGACCTACATTTTACAGAAAAGTTACCAGGTTAAAGTTTTAGGAGCAGGTCCGTTCCCAAGTAACTATATGCCCTACACAGAGCAAACTTGCATGGATGATGCATCTACGGATGGACACTACTAGCCTTGCTTCGGATGCTGGATCTGACCTACATTTTCCAGATGATTGATTGATTGTATACTGTTTAACGTCCCTCTCCAGAATATTTCACTGATATGGAGACCTCACCATTGTCGGTGAAGGGCTGCAAATTTAGGCCTATGCTCGGCACTTACGGCCTTTGAGCAGGAAGGGATCTTTCTCGTGCCACACCTGCTGTGACACGGGGCCTCGGTTTATATGGTCTTATCGGAAGGACCGCCCCATTTAGTCGCCTTTTACGACAAGCAAGGGGGTACTGAGGACCTATTCTAACCCGGATCCCCATGGGGCAGTTTTGGGAGCAAGTCCATTCCCAAGTAACTATAGGCCCTACCCGGACTAAACTTCTATGGATGATGCATCAAGGGATGGACATTACCAGACTTGCTTCAGATGCAGGATCTGACCTACATTTTCCAGATGAGTGTTCAGGTTAAAGTTTTTGGAGCAGGTCCTTTCCCAAGTAACTATAAGCCTTACCCAGACCAAACTTGCATGGATGATGCATGTATGGATGGACACTACCAAACTTGCTTTGGATGCTGGATCTGACTTACATTTTCCAGATGAGCGACCAGGTTTAAGTCCATTCCCAAGTAACTATATGCCCTAGCCAGAACAAACTTGCTAGGATGATGTATCTAGGGATGGACACTACCAGATTTGCTTCGGATGCTGGATCTGATGTTTATTTTCCAGATGAGTGGCCAGTTTAAAAAGTTTTTGGAGCAGGTTCATTCCCAATTAAATATAAGCCCTACGTGGACCAAAATTGCATGGATAATGCATCTACGGATGGACACTACCAGACTTGCTTCGGATGCTGGATCTGACCTACATTTACCAGATTAGTGACCAGGTTATTCCCAAGTATCTATAAGCCCCAAGTGGACCAAACTTGCATGGATGATGCATCTAAGGATGGACAATCTAAACTTGGTTTGGATGCTTGATTTTCCAGACAAGGGACCAGGTTAAAGTTTTTGGAATAGGTCAATCCCCAAAGAACTTAAGACCAGTTTAAACAGAACTTGTTTGAATATTGTTGTCAAAATAAATACAAACTGTTATTAAAGAAAAAAAATATGATGTGAGATTTGCATTACTTAAACTGACAACATTCTTCGAGGTGAGCTTCGTAATCTTTTATTACCTATGTTTGTGGAGGGGGAAAATATGGTAGTACATTGTACAAGATACATGCTACTATCTTGGGCAAGTGTTTAAATCATTTAGTCTAAGTGGTAGAGCAGTGGACTAGCATGTTAGAGTCATGGGTTTAGATCTAAGCAGAAGCAAAAGAATGTCTGTTTTAAAACAAGAAAGCATATTCACAAAACTTAAATAAAATTAAATTGAAAAAAAAAATCCATATAATTTTAATACACATGTACCAGATTTTCTTTATCTTTGTAGACTTTGTTTTACACCTATGATGAAGAGACACCATACATAGTCAATATTTCTGGCACTTATCAACCTTTAGTCTTTGGAACACTCAGCAGTTTCTCTCTGTGGTGGACTTGTGGTGAAAATGTTACCCTCCACAATTTTACAATCGCCACTTACCCTAAAGAAACACACCATGTGTATTCCCATACCTTTATGAAAGTTTCCAATTCTGGATCATCTACAGCCAAACCGAAGGTTGAAACATTAGAACAGAGAAGTATAGTGGATCCATGTTGTAGAAAAACATGGATTCCATCAGATTTTGTGGCATACAGTTGTAGGAGGTCATGTAAATTAAAGTGTATGGAACCTCTCAGTGTCATGACTTACAATATCTGGAACATGAACACCTTTACAAAGAATGACCAGGACTATCCAGCAAGGTTCAGACGTCTTGCCAAGGTATAGTTGTTAAAAACGTATTCACTGAAATGATCTATTATTTTGGTAATGTTTTCAAAGTATTTCAGTCAAAAAAGCATTTTGCATCAAAAATATTAATTGCATTATTTACATATAACACTGAATTGTCTGAAGATTTTTCAGCTTGCCCTATCATGATGGGAGGCACACAGAGAGTGATCAGTGGACAGGGGATGCTCACTCCTCAGTGGCACCTGATCCCACTCTTTTGCTTTAGATCTCCTTGTTTACTCTGCCCCTAATTTGTAGCCTTTTCAATGGACTTTAGAGGTTGAATTGAGGTAGCATTATTTATCCCCATTCTCTACTGCGGATTTAAAGCCTTTAAGTGGCCATGGACGAATGAGGTTTGAGGTTGAATACTTTTTGTTATCTCCATGTTTCGTTACAATGTTTTATTGTTATTTTTATTGTACAGATTTTTGTTGATCAACATCCTGATGTAATAACATTCCAAGAGGTACGATATGAACATTCCAAGGGAAGTAACTTGGGACCAAATCAAATCAAACACCTCTCAGATATTCTGAAAGATTATCAGGTATTTGAATTAAATAATATACCATTTTAATGATTAACACCAATTTGAAAGCAGTATATGATCATATTTATCATATACTTGTATTAATTTAAACAAAAATAATGCCATTATGCATCCTAATATTTTTGGGGACATAATTAAAATGTTTAATTTTATTGAAATAACATTCAAGACTTTTAAGATTACTTTGACTTCTACCAATAACTTCTTAGATTACTATAGAGAAAGGATATTGTGTATCTTTGTGTAAAAATAAACTTACTTAGTAAAAATTAATTTCAGTTTGTTTATGCCCCTGCACAACTGGACAGGTACAGCATTTATAAGGGAAAAACAGAAGAGGGTGTGGCTGTGTTCTCCAGGTTTCCAATCATTGCTCAAAATACATTCCTTTTATTTAGGTAAACTATTTTTGATGTAAATATTCATATTCTCTCTGTTCTTTCACATAAAATATTGCTTTAATGCTAATAACCTTCTCAAAAGAGACATATTTTGAAAGTAAAATGCAAACAATTAAAGCATAAATTGCTGGGCTAAATTAGAAAAAAAAGACTTTTTTGTTGACATATTTACAAAGAGATAATACGTTTGTCCTATTAAGAGTTACCTCTCTTATCAGAGTATCAAGAACCTTAAAATAACAAAGAGACAAAAAATTGTTTTCTACCATTTCTTGATTTTTCAAAGTTATCTGTACTGGATTGTGTATCTTTTCTGATAGAAAGATATTCTTTTATTTAAACACTCCTTTCAGAAATCGTAGTAACAGTGCTGATCTCCACCAAAGAGTCTGTCTCCATGTCACCATACAGCATCCTCATCATGGTGTGGTAAGCTTATTTGTTAGCATCATTTGATTGGAGATATCACAAATTAACCATTAAAAAGATCAGAGGAAATGTGCATATTTGTCTCCATAAAGTTATACTTCATTTGAATAAAAATAACAAAACAATTATTTAAAATTTAATTTTCTTCATTTTGTTTTGTTTTGTTTTTTCTAAAATTAAAATCACTTATAAAGATGCACCTATCGAAGAATAATTAATTTATAGTACATTTACTATATGTTTGTCAAAGAGGGTAATATAAAAATGTTTTTTTTTATCAAATTATACAATTCTCTGAGACAATGTCCTTTTTGTCATCTTGACCTACATTTCTTTGATTCTGACCTATATTTCTTTTCAGATTCACTTTCTGACCACACACTTATCACTGAGTCATGAGGCCAGGGAGGAGTCAGTAGTTCAGATCTGGAGGTACATTAGGGGACTCAGAGGCCCCATCGTACTTACAGGGGACTTCAATGCAGAACCTCAGGAAAGGGCTATGAGGTGAATATAAGTAGGGGAAAAATGAATCAAATACATGTACATACATTAGATAAAGATAGCTTGATTTTGATCTGAAAGTCTTATATAGCCAAAACTTACTATCTTGAACTATCTTGAACTCAGTGGGAATGAGAAAATACTTCAAGATATCAGAGGATTTGAGATATTCAGGGTATTTAAAAATACTTAAAGAAAGAGCAGTTGGGTCTTCCAGAACACTTTCACATATCCATGGTATTCAAGATATCTGTTTGCAGGATTCTGAAGTACCTTAATGAAAGCTGTGAAATTTTTTTTATCACAAATAAACATCAAACAAATATTTTACACTTTCTTTAAGATTTCTAAAAGGTGAAGTGTCACTGAAAGGAGAGAAGATATCTTGTATGGTTGATGTTTGGCCCTATGTTTATCTTGGGTCACGCGGCTTCACCTTTAACAGTGCTGAAGGAAAACTGAAGAAAAGGGTTTGTATTGTTTATCCAGATCTTAATATAGTGTACATAAATTGGTATGCCGGTATTCCATTTTTAGCGCAATCATTGGGTATAGAGTGTTTGGCATATTCAAGAATTGGCGCTACACACTTCCATGCTGTATGTACCAGGTATATTGTATTTATTTGAGAACTTTGCAGTATTCATGAATTAAAATCTCATTGTCTGCACCAAAGCGGCTTAAATATGAAGCCCACTTTTTAAAATACACACTCAGTATTAATTGAACTTTGTATGGTGATTTCTTGATGTTTTCTATATATCTGGTACTTTATCAGGGTTCTTCCTAAATTGATATAGCAGCTAGGGGGCATAAAAAATGTTGCAGGGGGCCTGATCTGGTCCTTAACAGGGGGTTGAGGAGGGAATACCGGAATATCCTGGGAATTCCCAAGCTGTTATGTACAACACTCAACTTTATGTTGAACATTACTGTATGTATACTTAAAAATGCGGGCTTCATATTTTAGCGGCTTTGGCACGGACAATGACGTGCTAAATCATGAATACCACTAAGAAATCATTCCTAAATACAATACATGGCACAGACATCTGTAGCGCTAATTCATGATTATGTTGTAACGGGAGAGGAGAAAATGCAGCGGACCAGACCGGGATTCGAACACGGGCCCCCTGAAACTCCCCTCAGGTGCTCTACCAACTGAGCTATCCGGCCACGGGCGATCGAACCCAGCTGATCACCACATTCCTCCCTCCTTAAAGGTCTTTGGCCCTCGAAAGACCCCAACCCAGGCTCATCCCTGGCAGGTCTTTCACCTGTCAATTCCAGGGCATGGCACGGCACCAAATGTAATGGGAGAGGAGAAAATGCAGCGGACCAGACCGGGATTCGAACCCGGGCCCCCTGAAACTCCGGTCAGGTGCTCTACCAACTGAGCTATCTGGTCACCAGCGATCGAACCCGGCTGACCGCCACAATGTTAACAATTCCATACCCAGTGAATGCGCTAAATTTTGAATACACCAATTTTTGTACACGTACAGTAAATTCTCTTCACATGACTGTGTATGCATGTCATTTATATAACTTATAGAATTTATGAACTCTAATCTGACCTTTTACATTGCTGTGATAACAAATCACTATCTTACAGGAAAGAATTTATTTATAGGCAACAAATATCTGGGTATATATTTTATATTGTAGATTGATTACATTTTTGGATGGAATCTTGATAGTGATTTTCAAGTCAGAGATATAGAGATTGGTCAACACTCAGGAAAAGGGCATGTCTCAATTAAAAAAAAATAATTAAAATATTGAAATCATATATCTATAGTTTGACTATACATGTATATGTCATGTTGCATTATGAAATTGTTAATTGTTATATGTTTACATCCACCAAATATTATCTCCTTTAATTCTTAAACAAAGCATGGTTGTTAAATAGTCAGAAAACACCACCATGCAAACCACCTGTATATATTTCTTCAGCAGCGGCTGTTCCATCAATTAAACACACAGTGATAGACATTTAAATAATATAGTATGTTTAAGATACTTAATACTTCTTTATATGATTATTTATACGGGTATAAATATGAATTTTAAAATATCTATCATATGTAATATGGGAATTAATGTGCAGCTATTGCGGGGAAAAAATTACATAACTTGATTTATGCGCTGTGTATGTTTTTTTTCTGCAACAGCTGCAACATTAATTCCCATATTAACATTAACCAAAGCAAACATTTTATTGTTCAAAATTTCTTTCTTTATTTATTTTAGACAAGAAGCTGCCTCTGACCACCTTCCTGTTGTAGCAACATTTTGTTGAATTCATGGATGAGTGCTGTGGAACTTTCATTGAGAATCAAGTTTTTTGGATGTTTTTTTAAGGAACTGATTTATTACTTTTTGTAATAGTTATGACATTATTTACAGATGTTTTGTATTTAAAATTTAATTTTTTTGAACTAGTCATGTTGGAATAGCAATTTCAAATTTTTCCTTTTTAAAAAATAATTTATAAAGACTGTATGTGCAATAAATATTGTTTTAATTTTTGTTTATTTAGAGATAGTGTCTGTTATTTGTTATATTGGACATTGTCCCATAATTTGCTAAGGAAAATTTACAAGACATTAAAAAGACTCATTGAAATGTGTTCGAAAACACATTAGATGTGTACAGTAGTTGGGAATGACTACTTATCATATTAAATCAAAAACAATTTGTAAATGAATAGATAATTTCATTTCACAGCAAAGGTACATTTCTTGACATCTGATATTATTACACATACATGTAACTCAATATCTGATTACTCTATTCAGTATGCAACTGATATAAAGTTTGCTTCCTTTTCCATAATTAAGTTGGAGAAACTTATACAGCCTTGAGCTCAATTGTATATAATTATGTAGAATTGCTATATTTTTATACACCTATTTATCAATCATTAGCAGAATTCTAATTTCAACCTTTCATAAAAATAGGAATTTCATGCCTTTCAAGCAAATTAGTAGAAAGGATGCAAGAAAGTGTGATGTTTCAAATTATGGACCAGGTATTGAACCTTTTACCAGTACCCCTGTATATCTATGCAAGTGCTATACCAACTGAGCTACATGTACATGCTTTGAGGTTAATATCCATTGCTCACTCTCTCTTAACCTCCCTCTTTCTCCTTCCTTCTCCCCCCACTCGCACTTTCTCTCTCTGTCACTCACCCTCTCCCATCACTCTCTCTGCCCATTCAAACTATCCCTCTCTGCCCCACTCATTCTCTCCCTGCTCACTATCTCTCTCTCTCTCACCTCACTCACTCACACTCTCTTCCCCCACTCACACTCTCCTCTCACTCACCCTCCACACACACACCCACTCTCTCCCCACTCACTCATCCACCCTCTCACCCCACTCCCTCTCTGTCCCCCTTTCTCTCTCCCCACTTACTATCCTTCTCTTTTTTTGTCCCCCACTTTCACACAATACTACATGCATTGTGTAAAATTTTGATAATATCGAAAGTGCACATATGCATGTAAGTGACGTTATGGTTGCATAAAATTTCTTGTAGAAGATCTCTCCCTTGACATGCAAGAGGTCCCGGGTTCCAATCCCAGACGATCCATTTTTTTTTTAAAAAAAATACCTTTTTTTTAATAAGTGATAGTATTCAGCATTCATGCCATATGAAATGAAAAAGATATGACATGTGGCTTGTACAAAATCATAAAATCATCACTGCAGTGTGATAAATATTCTGTACAAAAAAGAATCTTCTATACACATAATAAAGAGAATGAGCTATCAAATCTTTATATCCATATTGGCATTTGTTATTTGCTTCAGTATACATCTATACATTTAATAACTATTAAAAATACAAATTCAGTCAGGGGGAATCCAACCCCCACCCCCTCTGTTTATTAACAGTACGCATTTGATTTATCACCAAAACAAACACTGCAGTGAGAAAATATGACATATACTAGGAGCCCTTTTCACAAAAAAATCTTACGACTGACTAAAATCACCCTGCTACAACAATTATCTACAGTGTACTGTAAGCTGCAAATCTCTAATTTTTCTGGTACATTATATTTATATTATTTATATAATTATTATGATTACATTGTAAATAAATATTTAGTTAAAATATCCCCACTAAATAAAAAAAAAAATACGGAGGGGAGAAGGTCTTGGTCGTTAGATGTTTTGTAAAAAGGGCCAAAGCTGTATACCGGGTAATGCGTAAAACAACGACGAATTCATGGTGCGAGTCCATTTCTGATCAAATCCAGCGCAACGACAGGATATCTGAATGGGAAAAAATGTGTTGTTTTCGTTAAAAAAACATTCCGAGGACGTGGAACTCTGACTGTAATTTATGGAACTAAATATTTTTGTAGTCTATCAAACGTACATATTATTTGTCCTAAGTAAGTCTAAAATTTCTTGTTTACACACGGCGTTGACTCCGATAACACTGGGTTACAAGAATTAAGTATAAGATTATGTAAGAATAAAATTATACTAGAATATAGACCTGTATACGAGATGTATCCTAATATTTACTATGTTGTGATTCTTGGAAAAGTTTTCAAATTATGCCATTTATTTTCACAAATCATTGAAAGAGGGCATGGCCCACCAATAAAAACAACTTCAACTCCCTCCCCCCAAGGATGCTGTTTGCTTGAAATTAGCCCAACGGTTCTAGAAAGATGTTAAAAAGTGTTCTTAAAACGTTTACAGAGAGACAGACAGAGTTTGAATGAGATTAATCAAAAAAGCTCACCTAGACTTTCAGCTCAAGCGAATAAAAAAGCTTTTGCTGCTGAGAAAAATATGTAACAGTGAATCTTGAGTAAGGGATTTATTCAACACACAAAATCACAACTGATATGTTTACAATTTAGACAAAATTATTGAAGCTCCTTGTTTCTTTGAACGATTTTTAAAGACATGAATACTTAAAATCCTCTGAGTAAAAATACTGAGCATATCGTCAAACATTGACATGAATATTCGTTACAAATCATTGTAGCCTACCTTGGCATAAATTGAACATGTACATTCAATCATGAAATGGGAGAATAAAGATAAATTATGTATATCAATCCATATCAATGTATAGTTGCCATTATTTAATAATAATTTAATAATTGTAATGTCATCTTTACAAACTTATTACATGTAGTTATTTTCTACATAAGCTATATGTATGATACAATATTTAAAAAAAAAACAATCTAGGCTACTGTATCTAGAAAATATATATATTCTTTGAATCTACCTTTAAGAACATAGCTTATTGGGCACAAATAATACAAGAAAAGGTCCGTGGACCACAACAATCACCTATATCCCCCAGCCCTTCTTGTTCTTTAAACATAAGTTTAAACTTTTCTGGCTTAGTAGTTCATGAGAAGAAGATTTTTTGAAGACCCCATTCTAATTTTGTCTTTTTTTAAAAAAAAATTATTTCTCTCTATGATGGGACTTGGACCTTCATTTTAACAATTTAAACTCCCCTTTTCCCAAGGATGCTTTGTACCAAGTTTGGTTAAAATTGACCCAATGGTTCTTGAGAAGAAGTCGAAAATGTGGAAAGTTTACAGACGGATGGACAGCTAGACGAACGGATGGACAGAATGTGATCATAAAAGCTCACTTGAGCCTTCGGCTCAGGTGAGCTAAAACTGATATGATCAAATTCGAATCCACATACGGTATTATAGTGTTGCATTTATTGTGTTCTCTTTAAAAGGCAATTTTAGCCCACCCCAATAAAGCCGGGGGAACTAATAATTAGTATGTAATAAACATCTAATTGATCAGAAGAACAACAGGGACATACTTAGGTCCTTGGGCAGGGACATTTGTCAGGTACTCATACCGGTATATCTATAACTTGTTATGCCCTGCATGCTTTTTGCAAATAGCAAGATTGGCAGTAGTTCAGGAGAAAAAGCTACAAGTACTCATCCCTTACAAAAAAAAAACCCTTGGGAATTCGAAGCTGTGATTTTGGTGATCATATAGTGATTTTCAAATTTCTTTGATCAAAGGAATGGACAAATCTCGAGTTTTTTTTCTGTCCGTCTTTCCATTTGGCGTTTTTGGCAGATCCGTGTTATGAAAAACAATGTATTTGGGAACAAATAAATTTTCGAGAAAAACAGCCTCGTCTTCGATGTTTAAGTCTTTGAGGACAAATTCACGCAGGCTTTCTTCGTTAAACTTCATTCCATCCTTCCTTACAATGGCAGCGCAAGGAATATCGTCTGCATGCTTTACATCTTTAATAGGGAAAACGACAACATCCTGTACCCCTTGGTGTTTTCTTATGATAGATTCAATGGCAGATGGTAAGACATTAGATCCTGAAATCAACATCATGTCCGACACTCTTCCAAGTATTTTCAATCGACCGTCTTTAGTAATGTGACCAAAGTCGTCTGTTTTATACCATCCAGACTGAGTGAGTACTTTCTTGGTTTGCTCTTCATTCTTTAAGTACCCCCTGAATGGAGGGCAAGAACGGACAAGTATTTCGCCATTCTCTCCGAGGGGTAGCAACTTGTTATCAGTACCTACGACTTTAATTTCAAATCCTTCAGTCGGAATCATATCGAATGAAGAAGACGACGAACGGTTTAGTTTTGTTGCCATTGTTCCGTTCTCTGTGGTTCCATAAAGGTTACAAATGACGTAATAAAATTTTCCAATTCCATCTAAACATTTTTCTGGAACAAGTTGGCCTGAGATAATGACTGAATGGAATTTCCACGGAAATGATTCCCTTGAAATGATTTCTAGCAGAAAAGGAACTATAAATAAGCCAGTGCTTGGTTTTTCTCGTTCTATGATCTTAGATGAAAAATTGATCATGTCCAAAATTGACGGAAATGCCAGTGTAGTCGAAAGAGTAATGCGTGTTCCTCCATATATGATTGCACTCCATGGATATCCCCCGGCCCAAAAAAATGGTCGGTCGTTAAAATATAGAAACAGTTTCCCTTTTTCTTGTAAGTAATCCACATCCCCACCTTTGGCCATTCTTTGTCCATTTTGCATAATATAATAATGGCTATATTCCACTGGTTTTGGACGCCCCGTACTACCCGATGTCGTTAAAATAGCTCCAATGTCTTCTGGATCTATTGTAGGTAGTTTAATTTCCTCATCGCAAAAAAGATCAGAGATTGTCAGAACTTTTTCCGACGTACCCAAGGGACTTTCCAGTACTACCCATTTAAGAGAGGCTACATCAGACTTTCTAACAGAGCCTGTTTCTGGATCAACTGTAGCAAGGTTCTGGATTATTTTCCAGTGGCTATCCTCATGTCCTGGGTCAAAAATCAACATCGAACAACCTCCAACACTATTCAACAAGTCTTTAATTCCCTTTCCCGCCTTGTCCAAGAAGGGGAAATGAATTGGACGGGCACCTGCTAGTTGTACAGCAAAAGTGCTCACCAGCCATTCTGGAGTATTGTTTCCTCCGACCCCCACGATATCCTCGCTCCCAATGCCTTTACGTACAAGTCCTTTCGCCAGTTTAACAGAATCCTTATAAAGCCTGTCATATGTAATCGATCTCCGTATTAGGTCTTGGTTGTAGAACACGAAAGCTTCTTGGTCTGGTTTCAGAGACGCCCATTTTTGTAAGAGTTTTGGTACTGTTGTGTAAGGTGCTGTGGAGGCCTTATCTGAACGAATGTAACTTAGTCCACTCTCCATGCCTGTCCCTAAACCAATCTGACTGCATACATGTATATCTGTAATGAAGGAAGTTGTGATGCTTTTAGGATATAGATACTGGACTTTTTCTAACGGTCTATGCATGCTTTTCATTGCTGTGTAACGAATAATTATCAAATTATCAAAGAATGCGAAGTGTTTCCTTCAAAAACCACCAATATTTATTCCTGCAATCTGTACAATTGCTTATCAATCCGCAACTAAATGCCCAAACATATATAAATAAAATCCCTTGAATAAAGTTTTTTAAAGATTTTAGAATAGAGATTGAAAATTACACCCACTTAAATCAGAGTTTACTAGTACTAAATGCCAATAGAAAAATCTGTACAGGGTATTTTCGCCTCATGTTGTTTTCGTTCATTCACATTTGCAAACAAATTTGCCCCTTTTTAAATTCGCCATATCATCGTTTTGTTTAAGAAATTATATTGTATTCTTTGAATTCGCCCCGTTTTAAATTCGCCTAAATTTCATAGGACGAAAGGGGCGAAAATGCCCCTGTATATAGTACTTTGATCGCAACTCCCGTTATTCTGTACATTACCTGAGCTGGCGAAGTCCTTAAGGTTTTGTCAAAGGTCAACATGTCCAAAAATTTATTTTTACAATATAACTCCAAAAGTATGTGGTTTAAATCATAAATATAAAACAGTTTATAAATATATTATTGATTAACAGATAGAAAAGTATCACTTGATAACAAATGCTTAGAAAAAAAATTTGTAAGAAAAATTCTTTATAAAAAATGCATATATCTTTAATAAATACACCTAATTAATGACTTGACTTTACTGAAAACAATCATTGCAGAAAAAATAGATGTTCATCAATCTTAATTGGACTTCGATAGCCTCTGGTAAGTTGTTTTCTGTGTTTATTTTGTCCAAATATTAAGACTTGAAACCGAAGGTACAATGCAAATGGCGAATATTATAGGGATCATGTCTTTAGACATGTCATGCTTTCAATATGAGCTTCTCAGAGACCATTCCCGTCCAACTTGCCCTTCATTGATAAACATACATTATTTCTGCAATGATTGGTTTCACCAAAAAGGACAAAATCATGCAGGTGCATTTTTTTTTCGATTCATACATTTTTTGACACCTTTTTTTCTCAAAATTTAAAACAAAAAATATTTGTTTTCATGTGATACTTTCTTTCTGTTAATCAACATATTTATAAACTGTAAAAAATTCAATTTTATACCTCACCTAGTTTTTGGACAAGTTGACCTTGGACGAAACCTTAAAAAGTATTTTTTTAAAGTGAAAAGTAGTTCCAACCCATATGTTATAACAAGTTACCAGTAAAAATATGTCATTGAAATACGTTAATTGATCATCGTTTTTTGTTACTTGTGTATTTAGATACTCACCGATCTAGAATGTTTTCCCACTACACCACCCCAAATTTTTTTTCTGATTATCCTAGTCTTTTATATAGGTGACCTGAAACGGCTTCTCTAAAAAAAGAATCATTATCATAGTTTCCTGTGAATGTTGGCTTGGGCAAGTTCATTGTGGAGTGGAATAGAGGGTTGTTGGAGTATTGTTTTCAGTTTATATTTCATTATTCCCATTTGAATTAACATTTTACGTCGCCCCTACAGTATAGATTAATTAGTGTACAACTACATTATTATATACATGTGTATATCACATATACAGTGTGATATACAGAAATACTCTATACTCCCTATATATATCTACCCGTATATACTCCCTATATATATCTACCCGTATATACTCCCTATATATATCTACCCGTATATACTCCCTATATATATCTACCCGTATTAAATCAGTTTTCATGTTCGAATTCATAACAAAATATGTCAGATTTTCATCCATAATGTAAAGTAAAACTGTAGTTAAAGGCTTCAGAAAAAAATGTAATCATTTGCTTTGACAGTTTATCTGTTTGATTCATAAGCATTTATGCAGATAAAATATTAATATCCTCTACATTCTCAACTAAGCAGATTCCACGGTATGATAAATGCAAATGCAGTAACTGTTACGTATCAGCAGGGGATGGTGTGGGGAACACCTACAATGTAGAATAGTATGCAAAAAATTTGGTACTGAGAGAAGTTTTTATTTTAAAAAAAGTTGGCCTCTTCCCTACCCCCTCCAAACTAGAATTTTTGATCTAGGGCGATAATCCCTTTCTTGGCTGGTCAACTTTTTCAGGTTAGTAAAAAAATTCTCTGGCTGGACCCCCACTGTCAAAAACGATGCTGCGTAACTGCAAATGGACAACTTAATTTCTACTTTCTAGACTCTTCATCTACAATATGTATACCGGAATATTTACATACAATGAATATTATTAGCTTTATTGCCTTTGAAGACCATTGCCGTTAATAAGTCCATAAACGACATGCAAAGATTATTTGAACAATGGCTGTTCCAACAGTTATGCATACAATGACATAAACGTTTATAATATAATATTTTTTTTACTTTGAATGTTTTTTTTTCATACAAATGTAAATATAAACAATAAAGTGTCTTTCTTTGTTTTTTAGAATGGAAATTAAGGTCAAGATCTAGTAAATAACTTGAGACTAATTTTTTGGGTGGTAGCTCCATTATGACGTCATAATCAATTTCAACTTTTTTTCCCGTACTTTACGGCTATAGCAGAATTATGTAGAAAATAGGGTATTTTCATGTCATTCAATTTGAAATCATATGAAAAGTAAACCGGATACCTATATTAAATTTGATATTGATTTAAAGAAGAGGCTATGGACAAACTAATTACCGTTTTCTGAGAGACTGTAGGCAATCTGGATACATTTCCTTCGCCGAATACGAAAAAAACTCCTATATTCCTGACTTGTTTTCTTAATTTTTCATTGAAAATTACAGTATAAAAATACAGTTTTTCATCTTGTTTACCTATACATTATGCCCCGAAACACCTTATTTGACCAAGCAAAAGTTGTAAAGCATCAATAAAAGAATTTATTTCTCAAGTTTGATAAATCTGTACGCACCTTTCATTTACTAGATCTTGACCTTAACGTCGCAACCATTGCCAGAAAAAAAATAAGCGCGTTTTTTTTTTCTTTTTTGCAACAGCTGCGATAGTAACTACCTTACTAACAAGCAAGGAAAGCAATTTATTGTTTAAATATATGACTGTTTTTTAGTAATGCACATAGCTGAATCTGTCCCATACGTACTTTACTCCAGGGCTTTCTTTTTATTTTTTTCCAATCTACATTGTAAATTATTCCATTTCCTTACCTTGAAATGTTGGAAATGATGTATATAAATTATGCAACTTCGTGACAATGTAGGACAAAGAGTAAATTTTTACCTGAAATGTCGTGTTGAAAGTTTTCTATAAGTTCATTAACCTTATACAATTATTTATCACAGTAAAAAAAATACAAGAAAAAAATAGTAAACCGTGTTCTTGATGGCATACTAATTTTAAATTCGCATGTCTGTTTTAGACCAAAGATCCATATCCAAGTTGAATTGTATCATTCTTTCACCGATTTATGATTGATTGGTTGTATGTTAATTGGAGGATAGTGTGTTTTGATGACATTCTAGCTATTCAAAGGGAGGTAATTATCAGTTTAAGGTGTAGATAAATTAGTGTATATCATATGTGATTTTTTTTCAGAAAAGATCTTTTAAAAGTATATCTTATAATTCTTTGGAATCATTTTTTACTTTAACTAAGTTTGAAAACTTAAATGTAAGGTAAGTGTGCTTTCAACAGAAAAAAAAGTGTATTTATAAATAGATACAGAAGTTTTGTTTAATATGTTAATTTTTTTATTCAATTTTATTATTTGTAAATAAATAAAAAAAAATAAATAAAAAAATAACCTAAACAATAAGTTCCATCATCCATGTCCATTTTAATTTCTTAAAATAGGTACATACAAGATAAAGCTTTGTAATGCTATGTAATGCCAGCATTACACTGGATTTTATGAACTAATGCATTACATTACCATTACATGTAATGCAAATTTTTGGGCATTACACATTACTAGCATTACTTTGAGTTCATGTAATGCATTACAATACATTTCCATTACAATTAGCATTACCCAAAGCCTGGTATTTACTCTTCTGATGTTTTATGTTTTCATGTGCGAATTTATAACAAAAAATATGTCAGGCTTTTGAATATATGAAGTAAAACTGCATATACAGTGTAGTTTTAAGTTTTAGAAAAATATAGCCAGTTGTTTTGACAGCTTATCTGTATGTTTCATTATCATTTAGTCAGTACCTAATTCATTATCTTGAACAATCTGTAATTATTTATTGACGTAAATGTTCTATTCATGTTCATATAAAATATATTTTTCATATTTGGAAAGACTAGTCGAACTGGTCTATTTTAATCTGTATAGGGTCATAAAAAATGCTAAAAGCGACCAATATGTATTTAAATTACAGTGAAATTAATTGCTATGTCATGTTATAAATTTTGAATTTACCAGGTATGGTGTTGATTTCGTATTACAATGTATTTTCTTTTCTATTCTAATCTACAATGTATCTACTGAAACACATACAAAAATGTTATACCGGAATAAATGGCTGCTTACAGGTACGTCAAAATAAAAAGTAGTAGATTTTTTTAGTGATGTGCATTGCTGAATCTATTACATGTGTACTTCACTCCAGGATTTTTCCGTGTATCAATTCCACTCTAGATAGTAAATTATTCCATTTCCTTTTTAAGAAAAGTATGACTTTGAAATTTTTAAAATTATGCAATTTCACGAAAAGATAGGACAAAGACTTAGTTTAATATGAACTGTCGTGCTGAATATAACGTATAGGAGAAGTTCAATAGCCGTATACTGTCACTTATCATAATATCGAATAAAAAGATAGTGAAGTGGATTCTGGATGGCTCACCTATTTTAAATTCACCTGTCTGATTTAGACCAAAGATCCATATACATGGTTAATTCTATCATACTTTCACCGATTTATGATTGATAAAGAAAGAGAAACACAGATTTTTAAATCATAAAGTATATTTGAAATGGCCGAGTAGAAACAATTTTACCATTCTTAAATTGAGCCGACATATTGCAAGGCGCGGATAATACCCCTTTATGAGACAACAATATATTTCTTAATATCATAGTTCATGGAAAAGTAATATTTCTATGCTCCGTAATCGAAATTTTGAAGGGTATACAGATTTTGTCTTGTCCAACTGTCTGCTTATCTGTTTGTCTGTCCGCAAAAATTTCAACCTTGACAATAACTTTTGAGTGAGTGGGGCTATAGCTTTCACATTCACAGGTGTATTCCTCGTGACAAGACCTTTCTTAGGGCATTTTTTCCTGGCAGCCATATTTAATTATGTATTTAAGTCTGAAGATATGATATGACCAATATATGTGTTACAGCTTCAGCTGTATTTGTAAACTCGCGTGATTCATGATTAAATGTCAACGTCTATTTATTAATTAAATATAAAAGTATTCATTTCAATCCATTACATTTCTATGAATTAATTCATACGAACAGGATAGCAATATTCAAAATAGATTAAGAAAATGTTCATTGTAGTAAGGTCAAGTTAATGAAAAACCGTTACTTTTAAAAAGTTTACTTGTATGCTACGATTTTATTAAAGTACCTGACTTGTTTTTAGTTTCTGTGTGTGTGTACAAAAATTACAGCATAGAAACGTTTTTTTTAAATACGGATATGGAGGGTACATTGACTTCGGTTTACACTCAGATTTTCTGGAAAATCTACCTTTCTTGTATTTTTATAGACCATATTAAAATACAGATTTATTGAATAGAGCATTGCATGGAGAATGATTTTACAAAACGAAAATGGCATTGATATCTCAAGAAGACTAGTTAAAATATTAGTATAATACCGGCGTCTTTGCATGAAACACCGAAGAAAACCCATGTGATTTTCTAGAAAAGAGTATTGTGGAATAATTAAGAAGCAAAATTGTAGGAGTATATTGTTAGGGAGAAATGTACATGTAAAGTCATCTTCAATAAAATATTGTTTGTTTGCCCTCTCAAGTCTCAGGATGAAAAAAATGGGTAACGGACAATTTTTCTTCTTATGGATTTTCAACATAAATGCTGAATGCTCAACATCTATTTTAAAAGCGGTGGGTGGTGGTGTTTATTAATAAACCCCAAAATAGATGTTGTCTGGTTGCAAATATTTTGGAGAGAGAAAAAATTGTTTCCTGCAGGTTAAAAAAAGTTTTGAGTTGGTCTAATTTTCGCCAGAAATCCAAAGGGCAAACAAACGAAATTGTACCGATGGCCTAAAGAACAGCATCTTTATTGTCATTTTAGGAAAAGGCTCAGTTTTCATTCCTCTGAAATTCCTTTGGCATTCAGTTCATCTATAACTCTTGTTAAGTATTCTGGATCAGGATAACCATATCTGAAACAATAAAATACTAACAATGATATAATTTGAATTAAATATTTCTGATAAATATTCAAAAATAAAAACAAAGTAATTAAAAGACAAAAAAATGTGTTTCATGAACAGCCAAGTCTGCATTTGTTTTTGACTTGTTCAATATTTTTTTTTTGTTTGGTTTTATTAAAATTAATAACGTTTACTTTTCAGGCCCTCCATCTCTCCTTGTTTTGTGATGGATGTCGTTCCACGTGACCACGTTGTCTCTACCGGAAGTTCGAGAAAAACCAACCGTGAAGATCAGACGATGTTCGAAAGCACGTTTAAGCATTCCCAGAATGAGACGTCCCTCTTCATTGTCCGGAAGGTAACCTTGGCGGGAAAGGCCATGATACGGTTTTCCAGGATTAGGGTGGTTTTCCTGTTGGAAAAGAAATCAAATGTGAATGAAATATTTTGTGAATATTGTCCTCGAATCAAGAATAATTCATACTGCAAAATAAAAAAAAAATACTTATATCAAGAATATCTTGCAAAAGTACAAAATATATTGAACGGAATAAGATAAAACAAAATGGCTACCGTCTGATTTCCATCCGGAAATTCATAATTGATAATCAGTGTTTTACAGCTGTATCCCGGAAGAGAAGCATCATCCAGATATACTATAGCAGTCCCGCTTCCTGGTTGATTTCCGTACATTTCCCCATAAACCGTATTGCAAACAGGGCATGCCGATTTATGGTGTAAATATTCTGTGATACATTCACGACAGAACTCGTGTTGACAATCTTTTAACTGTACTGGGTCGGTCATTTCATCGTCCATACAAATGACGCACAAATTATCATTTTTGTCTCCTACATCTGCGCACGCATCTTTCTTTGAAAGTTCGCCATCAAATTGGGTGTCTGAAATCTCGTTTTCACTTTCTTCAGAATCCGAATTGATCATTAGAAGATTTCCTGTACAGAATTTTGATCCAGGCTTTTGATCTGAAGAAGGATCTTTACACTTTCCGAGAGAGGCATTTTTGGGAGGCACGGATACCAAAAACGATTCCATATTTTGCTTGTGGTTTGCAGATGATCTCCAAGAATCGATCCTTTTATAATTTTTAGGGTTAAACTTGTATGAATCCTTACGAGAATCTTTCGCAATCTCTTTCTTTAATTCTTTTTTCTTAACCTGTCGGTCTCTTGGGTGATTTGAACCTGAACAGAAGGATCTAAACATATCGACAACTACTTTCGTAGTTTGTTCGGTAAAATTGACAATATGGATCGTCTTTAAATTGACACTCTCTGCTGATGAGAAACTTTCAATGGCTTGTAGCATAACGGTAGCATATGTTGCTAGATATTGTGGATTCTGAATTGAACCTAATAATGCAAAAAAAAACCCAATATATGTAAGAACCTCATCTAAAAAAGTGCAAGCCCTTAAAAAATTCTTACAAACAACATCGATGTAAAGAACAAAGTAGTTTCAATACAAGTTGAAAAAAACATAAAAACTTAATTTGAAGGTCACAACAATAAATATCTTCCTTTTATGAAAAAAAAATTAAAAGCTCTCGGCCTTGCTAAAAATCAAATCTCAAAAATACTTGTAATTAAATAAATGAACATGATCCTTAATTTATGGGTCATTTCCAGTAAATATACTCACCTGTTCCTAATAATGACAAAGCAATGGAAAACAATTTCTTCTTTTTAACCTTTTCCTTATTTGCTGCATTAAGTATTTTAAGCGTTGTATCCCATAATTGTTGTTGGTAAAATCCTGAGGGAAGATCATCCGGAAATTTATCAATTATGGCATGCAATACGATTTTAAAACCAAGATGGCCTGCACCCGTTTGTAAAACTTCGGTGGTGTTACGTTTTTTCTTTCCTGAAAACAGTTTTGCATGCTCCTTCTGATACGGTTTTCCTGCTTTTTCGAGAATTGCTTTTGCAAGCTGGCCGTTTCCAGGTACTTTGGCATTTTCCGTTGAAACCAGAATATCGACATTTTGAATTTTTGTAAGGTCCTCAGTGTAAATGAGTACACATAGGTTATTTACCTCAAAGATTTCTGTTCCTCCATTGGAATTAAGGTGTATCCAGTTCGACATTTTATGAGAGGATTGTGGGGGCATATGAGGCTGAGTTGGATTGCTTGGATATGGGTGAACAGGAGCTGGATTGCTTGGGTATGGGTGAACAGGAGCTGGATTGCTTGGGTATGGGTGTACAGGAGCTGGATTGCTTGGGTATGGGTGTACAGGAGCTGGATTGCTTGGGTATGGGTGTACAGGAGCTGGATTGTTTGGATATGGGGGTACAGGAGTTGGATTGCTTGGATATGGGGGTACATGAGTTGGATTGCCGGGGTAAATGAGTATAGGAAGTGCATTGCTGGGGTATGAAACTACTGTAGATGTTGTGTATGGAATTGAGAAATGCTGTTGTCCTGGCATAAAATTGGATGGACATGAACTAGAAAAATCTGTGGGATATTTCGCTGGCCCTTGAAATTTTTGTAAGTCTTTCAACCGCATCATCACAGAATTTTCCTCAATATATCCAGAGTTGTCAAGAGCAATTTGATACGTGTCAATTACTAGTCCAATCATATCATCGTTTTTATCAATAAAATGAATTTCTTTGATTGAATTTTTCGTCTTTCCTAGAAAATTTTGATATTCCATTACAGATTTTACATACATTGCTGCAGCTGCAATATTTGGAATGCGAAAAATTTTACCTGAAAAAGACAACCATAATATAAAAGAAACTTAAAAAAAAAACACACATAATACTGAACTGAAAAGAGGAAATGAAGTCAAACATTGCATACTCTTGGATATTTGAATTTATACTTACCAGAACCTATAGGGGGCAAAGCAATAGATTTTACACCTCTTTCACATGCTGTTATCAGAGCTGTTGAGACAGTTTCATACAGATCCCCAAGACACTGTGTCTTGCTTCCTGAGTCATAATTTTCCCAATGTGGACAAGCACAGTGAATTATATATTTACAGGGAAGCCGTCCTGCCAGGGTGACCAAATTTTTATTATTTTTTATCGGTCTGTTAGCTTTGATCTCTTCAGCAACTTCGTTCCCTGCCTCCTTTAGTATTGCCTCGGAGAATCCGCCAGCTTTGCCTCTATCCCAGATGCTGACGATAGCTTCAACATTGCCTCTAGGTTTCGTGATGGTACCACTATAAATCTTAAAAACGCCTTTTGTCTTTTTCAAGTGAAATTCTGTTCCAATTCCTCTTGCCGATGCCATCTTTTACCGCTATACGATTGCAAAAATCTATAACATTCGAGGAAATTAAAACGAAAGTAGACGCATAGATCCTATTATCTTTTCTCATGCACAAGATTTCATGAACTTTCTCGTGCACAAGATTTCACTAACTAACCAGTTATAAATGTTTTCACTTATTTAAGGAAGAAGAAAACATAACATATTATAGAACCCACCCAATCGTTTATCCTCAGGCTTTGTTTATTCACATGAATGTCTGACTTATTCGAGAGGTCATGTGGTTACACGCTACAATGATTTATCGTTGTTTGTACAGATATTATGATAGCATCAGGTAAATATTAAAACATAATGAAAATATAGGATAAAACTATGTGTGTATAAAATAAACAGCAAGAATTATAAGCGTTTGATACAAAATCTACATTACTGTACTTGATAAAAGAAAATTATTTAGGGGATTTACATTCGATCATTCAGGCATGCACGTAACATCGAGGGCGGGGGGACTTGATCCTGTTTATTTCCAGACTGAAGTTTTTCTATAGGAAATGTTCATAATCATTGAAAGTCCGGTCCCCCACTTTTGGTTCCAGTATTGTCAAATAAGGGTAATATAAGGTTGATGCAGTGTTTTATTAAAAAATATTTGGTGCTAAAAGAAGTTGGAACCTACCTACCCCCCCCCCCCCCCCCCCACACACACACACACACACAAACACACAAAATAGAACGGTCGAGTTTGGACATTTTCTATATTTTTTGCTTGTCAAGGAATTAGGGTTAGTTGAAAATTTTTCCTCGGAATGCCCCGCTCTCTTTCAAAAACGATGCTAAGTCACAGTCATTAACAGCAAAAATATAGGTTAAACATATGTTAACAAGTCCTTCCATCCATTTAAAAGAACTTAAGAATTAATTAAGTAAAATAAAGTGGTTTCTTATACAGATAGTATCAATTGGTAGTTAAAGAGAAGTGTTTAGAATTTTGTTAATGCCCAGCTGAACATTGTTTGCTCTTGAAATATATTTCACCTTACTTTTCGTAGAATCTCCGACTTGTCCGAACGAACTATAGAAAACTAAGAATTCAAAGTACAACATCGCTTTCAAAAATGTATCTAATAAATATAGGAATTATTTTTTTGTTGTTGTTAAAAGGGAATTTATATAACTCAGTTAGCAGTGTTATGTATTTGAATAGGTTTATGATTGCAATGTTTACATTTATTTAGGATTTATGAGATCAATCAAAGATCTTAGAGACTTAATGATTTTCCCTTTGTAAGATGGGAAATAATATTTATAAAAACTCAAAATGTAAGTTGCCATTTAGAAAAATACACATTTACACATTTATTTGAGCATATTCAATTAATTACTTACAGCTCCCCGCACTTTTTACACGTTCTTTTTAAGCTCACATGATTTTTCGGACAAATTGAGGTCACATTCTTCTTGCAATAAAACATTATCGAACTTAGTACGAGACATTGCCCTAATATGTATTAAATATCTCATGGCAAAGGCACATATCCTTTAAAATCAGTATCTCAAGTTTTAAAAGTGGATGTTTCAAAAGGGACTTTACTTTATTGACAAATCGTATGATGTTACATCTGTATGATTCTACCAACGTATTCGCAAATCAAATTGATAAGCCTTTCTTTGACATTTTTTAGCTGACATTTTCAAAATAACTTCTTAAAGAAGAGTATTTTTATAAGTACGTTGCACTTTTACCATACTTGTCTAGGTTTTGTCGAAATAAGGCACGAAAAATGACAATTCTGCCTAAGGGAATCACGCCAAAAGAGGATAATAAAGCAATGTTTATCCCTTAAATAGTAGATTTTTTTTACTATTAAAAGAAAATTAATTTACATTTATGGTGTGAAACTTTCAAATTTCAAGATACTTTCATGATGCTAGATTTCAGAAAGTAACACCGAAAAATGCCAGCTTTTTAACATGGAAAGCAGTCAAACAGATGAGAACTACTGTTGTCATCTTGCGTTTTAGCGTCAAGTTAATGTATAGTAAATACAGATATTACATAAGACGCACTGTTTCTGTGTCTAGACAAGGTAAAAACCTACTTGCAAAATAACATATACAAAGACAGCTGCATTTGACGACAAACCATGAAAAACTATTTGGAATCTATCATAATCTATCAGCTAAGTGCATATCAAAATCCTACCAATTAATTTCTGAAAATTATGTAATAAAGCTATAAATCATTTTAAAGATATATTTTGTTGCCCAGTTACACAATTCGCATTGTAAAAGGATTAAGAGATTAAAAAGCTGCGAGGAGCTATATAATTTGCAAATGTTCAGATTCTGAGGAACGGACCACCTTAAATATCAGATTAAAAAAATTGTGCGGTCTATATAATGAACTAATCTGTAGATACAGTCTACGTCTAGGCTGTATTTTGACAGACTCATTATATACTTTTAATTGTTAACTAATTGTTCACAAATCCTAAACCACGTAAATACACCGTTTACCTAACAGAGAACATAGTTGAAATATTACCCACTCGGCATAAAGAATAAAAACCAATCAATCAATCAACCTAGTAGAGAAGGCTCACGATGGGTAGCTGGCCGATAGGGGCGATTTCAACCTCTGTTATTTCCATAGATCCGTGGTCTAGGCTTTTGATTAGTATTGCTTACAGGCTCTACGAGATCGATCACTGGTCGTTATCTTCCCAAACACCACAGTTCCAAACAGGATGAGGGCTCTTCCCGCTAGAGGAATCCTAATTAGTTTCTTTTCCTGTCCTTAGTGAAATGCTCAAGTTCAGGGCGTAGTCTCGCCTGATCTAAGGTCGGAGTTATCGTGGCGACTAGTCCAACATTTTCGTCAAAGAAAATCGTTTTTCATTTCACCCCGGACAACACAGGTGCATCAATACTATGTACACATGGAACTATATGAGAAAAAAGAATTTAGAAATTTTGGCGGGATTGTCCTGGACTTGACTTGCCATTAATTACGGTAGTGCAGTTTTTAAAAAGATGAATAGAAGTAACCTTAAAAGACTGAAAATTCTAAAGTTAAGCCTTGTTTAATAGAAAAACTAAAAAAAGGTCAACAAATCAAATACAATTGTACATATTAGCCATTTGTGAATATATAAAAAAGTGTATATATTTACATCGATGGGAAAATCATAATATATTACATTGCTACTAGAAGTACCACCCTTTTCAATAATAGAGCGGCTCCTCAAATTAACAGTTAATGTGCTTTAAACTGCACATTCTTATGTCAAATGCCTTTTTCATGCTGTATAGTAGAATAACTTTAAAGAGAGTAATAAGAGAGGGAGTGGGTGAAGGGAGAGGGAAGGAAACTTTTCATTTAGTTGAAATAAGTTGGCAGCTATCTACAAAGTATGTAATTATATGTCCATTTATTATCAGTTTTCTGTTATTCCCTTCGCTTCCAGTTCTTCTTTAACTCTTTGTAGATACTCAGGATCTGGATATCCATATCTAGTATAAAAGAAATAATTGAATATCTTTAAATAACCTCACTTCTCGATGTTGGCTAGATATACAATATGAAAATACAAAAATATATGTATTTGTCATATGTAAATAAAAGTATATACTTACTTTTCAGGTCCCCCATCTCTCCTTGTTTTGTGATGGATATCATTCCACGTGACTATATTGTCTTTACCGGAGGTTCGAGAAAAACCAACCGTGAAGATCAGACGGTGCTCGAAGGCACGTTTCAGCAATCCTAAAATTTTTCTACCATCTTCATTGTCTGGAAGATAAGCCTGGCGAGAAACTCCAGTGAATGGAACATCAGGATTTGGATGTTCTTCCTACAATGTATAAGTTTTTGTGTTCAATGTAATTTTGATTTGATTACATTTTGTGAAAGGAATTGAATTGACATAAATCAATCAATAAAAAAAAGAATTACCGTTTGGACACCATCAGGGATATCGTAATCAATGATGATTGTAGGACAAGAAAACTCGGGTAATGGAGCTTTGTCTGTGTAGATTTTAGCAGTTCCCTCTGGTTGATTGCCAAACATATCCCCGTACACAGTGTTGCAGATAGGACAAGCAGATTTGTGCAAAAAATAATCTTTAATACATTCTCTACAAAAAGAATGGCCACATGTCTTTAGCTTCACGGGGTCCTCCATCTTTTCGTCCATACAAATAATGCATTTTGATTCTTCGTCCTCACTTTCCTGAACGTTAACTTTGGGATCCGTATTTGCTCCTGCCTTTGCAATTGCATCTTTTTCTTTCCTTTTGAGTTCTGTGTCACAAGGTTCTGCTTCGTCATCAGAGGATTCGATCAATACAACATTACCCACAGAACTTCCTTTAGATATGCTTTTCACTCCAGAGATTGCTGATGTTTCTTCTTGAACTGGATGTTTTTGAGGACATGCTTTAATAAATTCCTCGAAATCAACCTCCGATTTTTCAAGTATCTTCCACATTTCTTCGTATTTATATTTTTTCGGATCAAAGTGCCAGCGTCGGGTATCGTTTTGTCCATATGGTTTAGGTGATGATTGCTTAGTGCTGTTAGGATCTGCACATTCACAATTTTGGAAAGCTTTCTTGAGGGCATCTGTGGCAGGTGCCTGTGAATTAACTAGATGTATTTCACGAAGCCTTGTGTCTTGCTTTATCTGTTTTGAAAACTCCAAAATGCAATTGCAAATAACGTCTGCATATTCCTGAAGATGCTGTGTGTCTTTCACAGAACCTGGAATATATTAAAATTTTTAGATTATTTTTACTATCAAATAATGGCTTATCTTCGCTAAACAGGTTAAAACTTTGGAATTTTTACTTTTATTTTAAGTACACAAACCTGTTCCAAGTAACGGCATGGCCAGAGACAGTGGTTTATTTTTCGTTTTCTTAGTCTTCCTCTTGTTAGCTTTTTCCAAAATCTTTAATGTAGTTCTCTTCAAAAGACTCAGACAATCATCTTGTGGTTTTGAGTTTGGGAATCTTTTTATAATTGCAAAGAAAACCAAATCATAATGAAGGATTCCTGAATCAATTTGAAGTACGTCCGAGAAATTTCGATATTTGGAATCATCGAAGAGTTTTTTAACTCTTTTCTTATATTTATCATTCTCCTTCTCTATGATTTGCTTACTGGTATATCCCTGTCCAAAACCTTCTCGACCCTCTGCACACACAATAATATTTATATTCTTCAACTCAATAATATTTTCTTTGTAAATTAAAACCTTCAATAGGTCTCCTATGAAGAATTCATCTGAACCTGTAGCAGTTTTATTCGAAACACATTTTACAATGGCTTTTCCAGCTTGATATTTATTTGCAAATCTTGTTTGAATATTAGTATTTCCAGCACTGCCGGAATTGCTATAATTGCTGTGGTCAGAACCACTACGCTTCCATGAATGCCCAGTATTCCATGGAGTTATTTCGAGACGTTTTAATACACTGCCAGGTTCTAGATAGGACCTTCCATTTTTGTGTTGACCGTTATATTCCGCAAAAATCGAATCTAGCATATCTTCTTTGATGTCAACAATGTGGAATTCTTTAATTTTATTGTCAAGGCCAGGAAGGAAATTTTCCGCAAAATCGAGTAAAGCTCGGACGTACATTGCAGCGCAAGCTTGTTTTGGAACACCAAAAATTCCTGAAATAGAATGTAAAAATAAACCGCTTAATAATTTTGAATGCATATTCCTCTCAAAACTTGTATATTTTACATGTGATCTTTATAAAAAGACATTATCTATTTATTCTATATTGGTGGTACATTAAGAAATCCAGTATGAAACTTTATATTTTCCCAAGAAAAATGCACTTTGGTCTAAAGATTTTTTAATGCATTTCTAATCTTTCGATAACCATTGTGTTTGGATAATCTCCTGCAATCTATCCTAATTTTTGAGTAAAAAATAAGATGGAACTCAAAAAGAACACGAAATAAGCGTGAAATAATCAGAATTTTGTGGACAAAATTGAAACAAGGTTCAAATTTAATTGTCCAAAATGAAGGTTACGTGGGACTTCCTCTAGGGACGTCGAAAGAAATGTGACACTAAAAAATTAAGTGCCCCCTCATGTATTTTAATACTTAATGTCTTTCACTTTTAATTTTCTTTCTTTGTAACTCCATAACTCGGGACAGTTTAAGTTAATCTCAAAATGGCATATGCTGTTGTCATTTTGAAGAGAGGGACTATCAAACTGCACACATTGAATAAAGCATACTAGTAAAAGAGTGTGTAAAGCTCTGTCTTTTTCAATGGCTGATATCTACTACGAGTATGCAAATCAATTTGATAACATACCAGAACTAATTGGCGGCATAACAACAGATTCCATCTTCCGTTCACATGCTTTATGAAGAATATTGACCACTGTTCGATAAAGGTCTTCTAGAGCTTCTTCTTTATTTCTGTAATCACTCCAGCGGGGTCCCACGGCATGGATCACCCAACGACAAGGTAGATTTCCACCAGTGGTGACTACATTTTCTGCAACATCTATCCTCGAACGTTTGCTCATCTTTTGTCTACAGGCTTTTTCCAATTCATTACCAGCAGCCTTCGAAATGACCTCAGCAACTCCCCCACAGTTATCAAGATGAGTGTTTGCTGCATTGACAACGGCATCCACTTTTGCTCTGGTAATAGATCCTTTATACAGTTTTGTAGTAATGCCATGCTGAGTGATGATCTGTTTAATTTCGACCTTTTCTCCCAGTGATGTCGAAGTGCTCCTTGTATCTTTAGAACCACTTGAATCATTTGAAGAAGGTGAACCGTTGGAAGGTTTCCATTCTAGCTGACTCTTGTATGATTGGTTATCCTGTGGCGACTTTCTGGCCTCAGTATCAGACTCGTCCCCAAAAGTTCTATTGCGCCTACTGACTGTTTTCTTTTCCTCCTTCTTATCAACATCAGTTTGTGTTTTATCTTTCAAAACACTCTGAAACCTCCGCAATTCGCTAGTCTCATTATAGTAGGCAACTGTCTTGCCATATGAATTTACGGTGATTACAACCTTGAGTGAGTTTTGTTTGATTAAATCACTGATCTTAGATGGATCGTCCTGGCAATCAATTTCTGTTGACTTTAAGTTGTGGAGTAATGTATCTAGTTTCTGTTTTTCTGTAGCCAGTAATGTTTGTTGACTAGATGATAACGTCACATTCTCTGCACCACTCCGTTCAGATTTAGCCAAGTCTACTTTTATGTCATCTAAAGCACTACTAAAAATTGTCAGCAACTGTCTTGCTTCTATATCAGTGTAGTTAACTTTTTTCACAGGATTCTAGAGGAAAGGATTTAAAGTACTCAAGAAATTTTCTTCAGTGATTACTAGGCAATAAAGGATGCCATATTTGAAAAGTTAATATCAATTAAATTGATGGGCAATTCAAGTTTGATAAAATTTTCAAGTACTAGTATATAAGTTTCGTCCTTATGTTCAGACTTTTCAGCAAGTGTGTTATGTAATAAGAATTTCAATGAATTATCTCAAAGAAGATGTAGGCCTGATCAGTCCACTGATTTGTTAAATTCATAATTATTTTCTTCTAGAGTATACATGGATGCAATGATAGATTTTTAACGTTTACCTTCTCAGCAACTTTATTTTCTTTGTGTCCTTTATCTGTGCATTGAAGAAAATATAACAGAACATAATTAAAAATTATTCAGCAAAAACAATATCTCGAATAGAATTAAATAAGTGATCTTTACACATATAGGGCACATCAATGAAACAAAACCCTTTTTATAAATGCATCAATTAGTGGGTAAATCCTCTAGCAATGCATTAATACCCGTTATTGCTTACACTATCTCCATAATCATGCTGAATAACAAAGTTTGCTAAAGCAGGAAGAAAACGGTATAAAACATGTAAAAGAAAACATTAAAAAAATCTGAGAAGAACACAAGAATGACATACGTATGCACTGTGTAAGACGGTACCTTTATGATCGTTAACTTTTGGTTTTCTACCCTGGATTTTCTTCCCGTCTTCATCACTCGATTTGATGAGAGAAAGATTGCCGCGTTCTTTAGACATAACCTGTACACACATAGTATATAATATGTATATTTATTGATGAAATTGCGTTTTAAATGGTTATGATGTTATTTTTTTTACTAAATAGATAAAAAGTACGCAGAGCATAAAAAGTTTATTTCAATCATATGTAAAGAGCCATGGATATCTCCAAAATGAAAAAATAAAATATTAAATAAATTATTGAAAACAAAATATAGACGACCATGCCCAAACCTAACCAACTTAGAGGCAAAAGTCAAAATTGAAATCCAAAAAATTCTTAAATTTATAACAATAACATCTTACATATTCAAAAGGAAATCTGCTCGTAAACAATAATTTTAAGGTATAAATAGCTAGGTCCAAATTCCATGAAACCTAATAAAAATGAGCATAATTTTATTAATTTTATTCCTTCTTATGACATGGTAAGATTTGAGAGGGACTAATCAAACAATTTCGCTGGACTTGAGAATTTCAAAATCGTCAAAATAACTCGGCAAGGAATTTCGAGCAAATTAATGCGGTCATTGGTATTTACAGTATGAGTTACTTTACATTACTTTGATATCTCATCACGAAATTTAGACCTTTATAGAACGACCCTAATACAACAGAACCATTTAATCCATTGGGTTAAGTCCCCTCCCACATTCGCCTACCTGCATTTACTATTAATCTTTGCAATTAAAGACGTAAATTCTTTGTGGTGAAAATATATCATTAACATACAGGATATATACAATGTATACATGTTTATATATAGGAAAAAGGAAGGGAAAACGAAAGTAGTATTGGTAATGAAATGTACACAATGAATAGGTGCATTTTTAGCAACAATTCAGACGGAGAAAATATCTTGTAAGGAAATATATAATAGATAAAAAATATTGACATAAAAAAAATCATACTACCTGGTATCCGAGAATCACAAACGATTCCCTTGAATGGAGCCCCACGACTGTTAAAGCGATAAAGAAACGTAAAATTTATATTTTTATCGGTCGCGGGCTATATTCATTGAACTTTTGAAAATAAACTATATGCAAGGAGTCACTTGTAAATTTAAACATATTCCCGAAGCACCTGCATAGAGTTTCTGAAAATCTTCTTCGTGATTCGGTTAAAGTTCGGGGAACCTAAAATGAAAGTTAGATCTACATCGGATAATCAGCCAATCTATAAATATAAACTATAGAGCGTTCCAAGGAAGACACGTTTCGCCCCTATCAAAACTTAAAGCGCGCAGATGATCATTAATTTGCATACCACATTTACAAAATATAGTACAGCACATTAAATAATTCATGTTACCCCGCTATTACTTAATTAATTGAACCGCTGAGCTGCGTAACAACTCCTGGATATGCAAAGTCTATATAATAATTGCATGAATAAGGTCTCAAGATCTACACTAAGTTAAAACAATTAATCTTAGTTTGTCTTAATAAATCGAAGAAGTTGCAGAACAAAAATCATTGGGGAGGGGGCAGTAGGTACAATCGAGGCAAGTGATGTAAATCCTTCACCAAAATTTTAAAGATTTATGAAAGTGAAAAGGGTTTTACTTTTGAACTGTAATGATTATGTTTGTCTTTATATACTGAATTAATACTAGTATTGCATGTCATGTTTTTCAACCAAACTTTAATAGTCTATAATAGTTTTGTATTTAAATTTATTTCAAAACGTCCTATAATATAAAGGCACCCCCATTCATTTGTGTAAACATATCCAAAGCAGACTTAGAATTTCTTCATTATAGTGATTGCATATAAATGATTACAAACTTCAGTTAACACAAAGCTTTTGCAATAGATTTTTACTTATAAGACAGGCTTCTACGAACGCTTCCGAAACTTAAAGAGTCTTATACTTTTGGATGTAGTCTCTACATTTTTTTCTGGTAACTGGACCTGCTCTCCTGGCGATTTCTGCAGCTATACCTGCTCCATGTGATAAATGTCGTTGGGAGCATTGACAATTATATCTACGTCAGCCTCCCGCACGTTTTTAACGAAGTTTTTTTTTGACAAATCTTTTAGCATTCAAAACTTTCAGCAGCTAGGGACCTCAAATGTTGTGGAATTCGGCTTATCTTCTATGTCTTTTGACATTGTAGAAGACTTTCCGTCCATTGAAGAATGTCTGTTGAAGGTTGTACTATATTCATTGAGTTCCTCGTCACTATGTCCTTGTGGAAAAGTGGAGGATATTCATCATTATTTCTTTTCATGCAAAACAATATACAGAAGCTAGCAAAGATTTTATCGTCAAATTTTGGCGAATGGGAAAAATTATATACGGTTTATATATAGTAGTTTTAAAATACGCACACTTTATTGTGTGGAGATGAAACGTTAAACGATGTTTGAAATAAATACTTATTTTCCATTGTTCAAACATTATTAAAAAGTCATGCCGTTTTGTAGATGCTATTATTACTTCTTACGAATTACATGTATATACAGCTTGAATTCTACTGAATATTGTTTCTCTGATTATTATTCTTACATGTATATGTGTTTATTTATTTTAAGCTGAAATCCATATTTGTAAAAGTTTTAAAAATAATTTATATGTAGGGAAAGGGCGTATCAAATTTTTAGAACTTTAGTTCAGTCCCATTTGTAAAGTTTATAGACGATAAAATATGTTTAAATCAATAGGTGTCGCTAAATTGTCCTTCCTGTTTGTTGATTCTTATCTTTTTCTGTCTCTCTTACACCTGAACTTACTTCAGTCTTCAAAAGGCCCTCGAATTTTTGAAATTCAGACTGATCTTTGTAGTACATCCTTACCTTATTATCTGAATCTCCACTCAACACAATTTTGAGATAATGTGTTTTTACCATTTCTTCAATTTTAGGTAATGTTCCATTCGTGAAATTTACATCCTTATATTGTAAATTGTCTAGCAATTTTTGTAGTTGTTGTTTCTTAGTGACTATAAGTGTTGGATTCGGGAATTTTATCTTATCATTATCCAAATTTCTCCAAAAACATCAGAGGCTGTTTCGTTAGGAGCCCCCTGAAAGTTTTCTCTGTGGTTTCTTCCTTGAAATTCGAAAAGCAGATTTATTCCTTATGTTATTAGATACTACATGTTGTAAATTTTAAACTTGCTGATTAGAGGTAAATGCAAATTTAACTTAAAATCAAAAATCTTTAATGAATGACAAAGATATTTTATTTCTGACTTCTTAAATTGGATAATTTATGTTTGAAATACAAAATTAAAAAACATGAAAGACAAAAAACGTAAAGAAAAAATGATAATTTATTTGCCCTATAAAACATCGGCACGAAATTTATTTTTTCTATGAAATGGTCATGCATAAGTTGAAATTGTAGTTATTTATCAATTAAGACATTAACAAAGATTGCATTGAAGTCTTTGGGGAAAGGCGTTTTCTTAAAGATAAAAATTCAAATAATATGAATATCAATAAATACTGTGGTAGAAAGACCAATGAAACAAAAGAAATAGAGAGACGATTCAAAACATATTTTTTAAAATGATTTTTATTCATCAAAAATAGAGAGAGATAACTCTTACCAAAATTCAAGGTCATAAATTAGGACGTATCCGACTATTACTTGTTTTTAGTAATAAATGGGAATAATGTCTAAAATACTGAGTATTCAAAGCCTACAGCAGAAGGATAAAACGTACGCTGAACTAGGACCTTAGGTCCCCCGCGCAGTTCACGTCTATCGGGTCTGTTTACTCCGCTACAAAATGTAGTGCGTTGCATACGTAAAGTGAAAATAGAATAAATCGTAATACTATGAAGCCTTTTCAGTGTAAAAAAAAACCCAGAAAATTTATTTTTGTCACGGGAATGACCATCTGTGATGGGTAATAGAAAACAAAGAGGGGGAGGGGGGTTGCTGAAAAACATTAACTGCAATATTATAAGATATATGATATATTAGAGTTTAACATTTATGGATTATGTTGGGTGACCTGTGGTCTCCCCTATCAGGCCTATGATTTTATTATTCCATGTAATGTTATAGTATCTATATAACACAGTGCCTAACCTCTGATCTCCTTACTAATAGTAAGCGACTCAGAGTAAACGACGTGCGTCCAGTCTCTGCATCGCAGATCACTAACAAGCAGGAGGGGGTGAAGATTTTGCCCCATTGGCGCTACCATCCCCTTTTCATTTCGCTCGGACTTTTCACCAATCCTTTAACATAATGGAATAATTATAAAATTATTTAATGTCTCTTTTGTCTTCCTTATGAGGTCATGCTTAAATAGGCGACCTCATCACTTTAACATCACTCTTTGCCGGAAATCCCTGATTTTTATTTATCTTACAAAGAAGATGTACACCCTGTATTACAAAGTTTGGGGCTACATGGAGTTCTCCTCCCTTTCCCTGGAATTAACTCATCAAATTCATAACCCTATCAAAACTACATTAAAAAGGAAATAAAATTTTAACAATGCAAAAAATTGTTCTTTAACTTTGGGATACATATACTGTATTTGAAGACAAGCAAGTTGACTAATCCTCCAAATTCCAATAGGATATGGAAATAACGAACAGTATTCAATCTCAACGTCCATTAAACAATATACAAAATAAGAGCAGTGCAAACACGGACCTCCGAAACATGTACATTTAGAGAATTCGGAGAAATTGTGCACTTTTTCCTCTGTCAAAAATTAGGGTCGCAATTCTTTTTTAGAGAGGATTTGAAAAATAATTCTACACATACCATGATTATAAATTATTACCTACTTACAACTTTCAATAACATCGTAATAATGTACAACATAAGATAACCTTT